GATACATCCCGGTCGACCAGTTTGACATCCCTGAGGTAGATAGTTAAGAGCTTAGGCAGCTTCAGCAACGGACGCCTGGCGCCCCCCAGAATTCCGCACCCGGATGCCCTGCACCCCTGGGTGAAGACGGCCATGCTTCCAGCTCATGCTCAGCACCCTCTCCCTAATCTGCAACATGGAAGTGATAAAACTGATCTACCTTAAGCATAGGTTCCCTATATTTGGGGGCCCTTGGGCACATTTGCAAACTGGAGAAACTGGTGGACACCACATACACACCACGATCAAGCACAAAGCACAGCCTATTCTATCAGCCACAACAACACTTCTTTCAAACCTAATTTCAGCTTGTGGACGGTTGGAAGAATGGAGCCCTATGGCATTTGGGAAAGCCTCTGTGGGTGTCCATGGGCAGCATGTTGGTGACCTCTTAAGGCTATTGTGAGGATTGCAACAATAGAATGCATGTTCTGAACACTCAGGAAACATTGTATATGTTAAGTATTACAGTACTACTAAGTGCTTCAAGGTACAGCTAAATAGCAAAAGTTTAACAATGTGACAGGTTATTTTTTATGAAATCCTTGAAGGCCTTCAGTACAAGGTAAAAACCCTGATCCTCCAGGATTCGTAATTGCACACAGAGCTTGCTTGAGTAGGACAGGCTCCTGCTGCAAAATTAATTCCCTTGTAAATGATAATTTTGTGTAGGGGGTGGAGGAGAAGTGAATAGTGCTTCAGCCTCACCCCACAATGCTTTACAGCAGTACTGGCCCACCCAGTCAGCTTGCAGTCTGATATAGAGAAGAAGTGATGTACATTGATGTATGAGCCAAGGTTTGGCATGAAAAAGCTCCCCACCCACAATTGGCACTGGCCAATTGGATTCTTCATTCATTCACTCACACAAATACACACTCCTGAACTGCTTGGGATTGTGCCACAGGGAAGCAGCGGGTGGAAGCTGAGGAAGTCTTTCTTTACATTAGCAAAACAGGGAATCAATTTTAGAAAACACCTTTGGCACACAAATCAATAGAAGCCCTACAGAGTGGTGTCAACAAACTGAAAGTCCCACTCTCTCTAGCATCACAAAGCTGAAAGTCTGGATGTATTTATTTAAAAATCATAACCGCTTTTCACACCGTAGGTCTCAAAGTGGCTTACAAACAATAAGAGATAACGGTGCCATCTTCTCCCTCCTCTTGTGGAATCCCACTCTTGGAGAGTCTTCTCAGAAGTAAGCCCCATTAGGCCCAGTGGGACTTACTCCCAGGTAAGTGTGCGCGTGGCACACCCTCCAACATTTCTCCAATGAAAATAGGGGCATCCTATTCCATAATAATAATAATTTTATTATTATACCCCACCCATCTGACTGGGTTGCCCCAGCCATTCTGGGCAGCTTCCAATATATATAAAAGCATTAAACATTTAAAAACTTCCCTATACAGGGCTGCCTTCAGAGGTCTTCTAAAGGTTGTGTAGTTACTTATCTCTTTGGCTCGGGGGTTGCATAACTCCATACCCTCCAACATTTCTCTGATCAAAATAGGGACATCCTAAGTAAAAACAGGACATTCTGGGATCAAATCAGAAACCAGGGCAGCTTCTGTAAATCTGGGACTATCCCTGGAAAATAAGGACACTTGGAGGGTCTGATGTGGTATTCTTCAGAACAAAACGTCAAGGACATAGCTACACAAAACCTCCACATTGTTCCACCCAATCTCTTCTCAGTTCCTCAAAACAATTTGTTCTGCTGCAGCATCTCAGTTAAACTTGCATTTATCTGGAAGATAAGCCCCTGGGTTCCAATAGGACTCATTTCCAAGTGGGTTTGCTTAAGGGCGTAATGTACCCTTGGAGTTCTGCTTGTTTAAACCAATTGCCATCCTGAGAAAAGTCTTCACATCACTGTTGTTCTATGCAGCAAATGTCAACTACTGTTACATAGAATGTAAGGCCTGGCCTGCTCTGGACCAATAAATTAGTCTGGCCTCCCTTTCTGTGAACCAATCCAAAATGCCTTCACATGAAGCCTTATGTGCTGTGCTAAGACCTCCAGCTAGCTGGCAGTATGAAACTGATTGCTGATTTTTAGAAAGAGGAACTGAAATGTGCTTCGGAATACACAACTGGTCATTGCAAATGTTCTAACATGGGAGATGACAGTGATGGTACGCATGTGATGTCCTGCCTGCTAAATCCTAGATTTCAGGGAGTAAGCTTTTTTGTGATCATTTCCTAGCAAAGGAAATAACCCTCTGTCTGCTTTTCAGTAAATGTGTGTGCTCTCACTGAAGATGGTGTATTCTGCATATGCACAGAGTCACTTCTTTTCCAGGACACTGAAAAGAGATTCCACCTCTCTGACCTGCAGACTGGTGATCTGAAGGGTGGCAGGCTGTTCTTTTGCAGACTCTTGTGCATGGCAGACTCTTAGCTGATTTTGCCTCAGTTCTGAGGGTTTATATATGACATCACACAGGGATATCACAAGATATAAATCCTGAGGAGGAACTAGCAGCATCTGCTAAACAGAAACTCCCAACATTTCTGCACTCATCCCTCTTTCTTCCTTGTTTGAGTAGGTACCATTGTAACCCTGCCTAGCTAAGCATCTTGGATTGCAGGTTTGTTGCTACGGCAACTGTTGCCACTGCTTTGGTGGTCACTACTGCGTTGCATAGAGACTGGGTCGGAAGTGAGGGTGGGGTGGCAGGGCAAATGTCCCACTGCAGCCTTCCTTCCTCATGTCCCTCATGCCAGGCCCCTTGATTACCTCTTCCCTGGGATTCAGTCCTGTTGTCATGATGGGGCCCATGTCTCCTAGCAACCAGTAGCACAGCTGCCTCCACCTTGACAACGCTGCCCTGCTTTCTTTCCTAATAAGACCTGAAGGGGCATTTCATCACCTACCCCGGAGAATGGACTCTGCGCAGTTAGGTGACGATAACAGCTTGCTATGACCCAACCCACCAGCAGTTTTCCAAAGGGATGATAAGCTGGATGTAAACACAAGTTTGTTTGTTTGTTTGTTTGTTTGAAAAAAACCCATGTGTCTGTATGTTTTTGTTTGTTTTTTTTTAAATCAAGAGGAAATCATGCCTCTGATTATGTGCAATGGACCTTTCACCTCCCAGCAGGTAGTCACTATATCCTTGGAAAGGGGCAGGGGTGGGGGAGAGAGAGCGTCTAGGTCTGAAGGTATGGCAAGATGGCTAAAGCCTCAGCACCTCCTAGTTTGGATATAATAGAGAGAAATGTGTTTGCCTGTCTGCTTTTCCTTGGCCTGAGGCGTCCTCTACTGGTCGGTTACAACCTAGCACCCATGAGGACTCTGTAAACGCTTACTAATAATCCTTTTTCGTGGGTGATGTAAACCCATGTGAGCACTGCCCTCCCCCATTAATCTATTTTTTTATAACCTGCTTCATTGGCAGTATATTAGGAACAGGGCGCGCACAAGTCATTTCACTGCTGAGGCAAAAGGACTAGATGATGCTCTGTTGAGTTGTACAGAAGTTGAGCAACTCGGTCACTTCCACACCATATATTTAAAAGCACATGCGTTCCCCACCGCAGAACCCTGGAAAATGTAGGTTACCTCTCACAAAGCTACAATTCCCAGCTCCCTGAACAAACTGGAGTTCCCAGGATTCTTTGAGGGAAGCCATGTGCTTTCTGTGTGTGGTGTGGGTATGGCCAGCAGACAGCATCCTCCACACCTGAGAACAGCAGTCTAGTTTAAAGGGCGAGGGTTGTCCTGAAAATGATGGTTCAGTTGTGTATGTAAGAAAGGAATGCACTGAAAGTACTCACCAGCCTGGGAAGAAAGGGAGACATGCATAGCACTGTCACTTTCTGCTTCCATTTGAATAGGAAAGAACCCATCATAGGCTTTCCAGGCACTTGCAACATACAAACGGAAGGAAGGGGGAAAGATTAGTTGTGCCCTGTGCCTCTCAGCACACAGAAAAGAACAAGAGTATCCCTGCTGGATGAGGCCAATGGCCCTCTAGTCCAGCATCCTGTTCTCACAGCGGTCAACCTGATGCCTGTGGGAAACCAGAAACCAGAACTTCTCAAGAGCCCTCTCCTCTCCCATTGTTTCCAGCAACTGCTATTCAGAAGCATCCCCGTCTTCAGCTGTGGAGGGCAGAAGCATAGCCATCATGGATAGGAAGCCACCAAGAGCCCTCTCCTCCATGAATTTGTCCAATGCTTTTTTTAAAGCCACCCGAATAGGCATCCATCACTGCCTCCTAGGGGAGCAAGTTTGCACTAAGGGAGCCATAATTTTTAAAGAAAATAACATTTTGATTAATGATAGAAACAATTTACCCAAGTAAAATAACAAAAACCAACACCAGGGTATGTGTGCGTGAAATTAAAAATGACGTCTTCAAAGAATCTGAGAATATCTTCAAATAAGAATTGCGTTTGCAGCCCGCTCCTGTACAAGTTTACTCCATCAATGCATGACCCTCAGAGACTTTAGCTATTGTTACTACTGCTGAATTTCTGGTTCTATCACTAACCTCTTGGAAAGTCGAGGTGATTTTTAAAAATCCGTTTCAGCATGTTAACTTTTGTATGTTTAAAAATAGGCTTGTGTTTTTAAATGGACTTTACTGTTTTTATCTTTCGCAAACCCCTTTGACGTAGCTTTTTTTCTTGTTCTTTAAACAATCGAGCGGCTTGTAACTTTTATGAAACAAATAAACCCCGAGGTAACTAACGGAGAGAAACACGGAAAGAGAAAAGCCCCTTTGGAAGATATCACCCCACCCGTTCATCCTCCCTCCCTGTGGCCTGAAACGCAGTTACGGCGGGATAGAAGGCGGGGCTGCTGCTGCCGCCGCCGCTGCTGTTGTTTTTTTGGTTCCTTTCCCTCTCGATTGGTGGAAGGAGCAGCCTGTCACAAGGAGAGCGGAAGTAGAAGGGCAAAAAACCCGCCCCCGCTGCCAGGAGGAGCCTTTAGCGGAAGCGGAAGAAGCTGGAAAGGAGCCGAGGGCGGAAGTGGCGCCGTTTGAGATTTTTGGAGTGGTGGGTAAAGGGGGATACCGAGCAGCGGGAGGACTGGTGGCGGCGGCGGCGGTCCCGCAGGCGGGAGCGGGTGAGTGATGGGGGTCGCGTCCGGAGGAGGCTGGCCTGGGCTGGGCTTGGGGAAGCGCAAGCTGTCCTGCCTCCGGAGAAGGAGCCCCGCGGCTTCGCCTCCCTCGCAGATGGGCGTTGCTGGCCATAGCGGGGCTGCCTCGGCCGTGGCGAGCAAGGATGGAACCTCCATGGCCAGGGGCAGTGCACCTCTCTCGAGCACCTGTTGTCTTCGAGCCCCGCCTGCGGGCTTCCTGGAGGCATGCCGTGCGCAGCTCTTGGAAACAGGATGCTGGACTAGCAGGACCGCTCTGGCCGACCCAGCAGGGTTGTTGTTTGCTCCGCCCTGCGCGGCGCTTTGTAGAAACGCCATAAGCAGAAACAGTTCTCCTTGTGAGCCTGTGAGGCTTGCAGTCTAAGAGCGGGAGTAGTCACAAATCGCATGCAAGGCTCCCAGAGGATTGGGTGTTCACGAAAAACACTGAATTGGAGCGTTTGGACAGAGGAGCTCTTTACTGGTGCGCTCCTAACTGGAGATGCCAGTTAATTTCCTCTTAAGGGAATGAGTGCACGTTTATCAGCTTTGTCGGGCAGAAGTTCAACAGGTGTGACATTTCCTGTATAAGATATCCTATCCCTAAAGCTATAATATTCTAACCTAGGATGTGGATTCTAGCAGAGGGGGTTCTCAGACCCTTTCTGTCCTGCTGTATCCAGATATGCTTTGGACTATGAGTATACATATTCTACCTCTGATCATAGTTGCTGCATTTAAAACAATCAGCCTGAAGGATTGTAATAAAAATGGCTTGGTTATGGGCCTTTTTTCAGGGAGCCATCTTGGAAGTTAATAATTTGTGAACTTTGTATGTCGTCTGAACTTAACGGATACAGTGCTTTCCTCATCAGACAAAACCAACATGATAATAACCAGTAGTTTTATTACGGCAAATCCCTTTTCTTACTACCGTTATATTGCATGGATTGACATTCTTTGAAAGACTTCTCCAAAGTTTGTGTAGTGATTAAGAAAGTGGACTGTGACTCAAATTTTGACTCTTAGATGAGTCCATTCAATGTTTGGCAATACATATAAGGATCATAATACTGGTCTGCCGCTTGAAGCCTGTAAAAATGCTGGTGCATTATATGTGAATGAAAGTTCGTATTATTGTTACTAAAGGGAACAGGCCCCTCCTTTGTGTAACAATTTCCCTATTATCTTCCTTGCCCCACCTTTTGCCATTTGGCTTCTCCCCACTCCCACCATTTTATCTCAATCTCCAGTCATCACTGCAACCCTGCCCCACCCCTACCCCTTGCCTCTCTGTTGCAGATTCTCTTAAGCCTGTATGCAGGAACAATGTTGCCTGAACATTCTGCATTGCTTGAATGTAAAAAGACTTACTTGTAAAAGTTATGTTTGCTGTCCCCAAACTTAAGGCACCCCTTCCTCTTTCCTGTGCCTGCCCTTCTATATCGGGCGTTGAGAACATTTGGCCCTCCAGATGTTAGAGAACTACAACTCCCATCACCCCAGCAAGTATGGCCAATGGCCACAGAGGATGGAAGTTGTAGTTCAGCAATATCTTTCTCCCCCATGCTCTAAATCCTTGTTAAATTTTAGTTGTGCCACAGTTCAGGAAGGTGATGTATAGTGTAATTGCTTTGATCATTTTCCTGAATATATGGATATGTCTCTTTAAAGGTCTACCCTTCTTCATGGCCAGATGGGTGGGGTAGCTAGCTCCCAGCATTCTGTTATACTCCAGCATGCCAAGAAGCAAACTATGCAGATGGGAGCATGCTTAATTCTTAATACAGGAGCGTGAGTGCAATTCTTCTCTTGTGTAAGTGAATAGTGGGCATTCACTTTCATGGAAATAAAGTGCTGTGTTTAGGGACACTGTCATAGCGATGAAACACAGGAAACGGCTTTACATCTTTGGTCAGTATTGTCTATGCTAACTGGTAGTAGGTCTCTGGGGTTTCAGATAGGGAAGTCTTCCCAGCCCTAGCTGGAGATGCTAGGGATTGAATCTGTGGCCTTCTGAATGCAGAGCAGATGCTACATTTGGCTTTCTCAAAGTAAAACCTGTGCTCCACCCCTGTTTCAAGTCGCCAGTCTGTCACTTATAGGGATTCTGTAGGGGTGGGATGGGGAAACCATTGGACTCCAATTCCCATCAGCCCCAGCTAGCATGGTTGATGGTCAAGGATCACAGGAGAAGTTTCCTATTTCGGATGCAACGTTGGGGTCATGCATCCCCATGAAATTCTTTTAATTCACAAGCCCTCCTTCCATGAACATCATATTGGTGGGCCCTGTGCTAGTATTATAGCAAGGCACCAGAGGCTTTTCTCTGGCAAAGGTTTAGGGCAAAATGAAGTGGAGTACATATGTGATTCATATTGAAGTTAGATCATATCCACCAGACCTCAGTGCCTTAAGAAGACTCTTGTATGTCTGTAAAATCCTACATGCTTTCTCACAATCCATATCCAGGCTGAGGAAGCTCTGGTCTGGTTGTTGTGCTGTTGGTTGTGACCTGAGAAGTTGCCAATAAAAATTTCTGTTTATATTTATTCAGGGTTAGCCTGTGCAGTATTTAGTAAAAACACACGCGCGCCACAGTCAAACACTAAATAAGAGTGTGTGCAGTCAGTACACAAAGTAACCTGACAGACCCATCTTATTGCTTTAAACGTGTAGCAGCGAAAAGAAGTATTTAGCTTCAATAGCTTAACTCGATAAATGTCGGGTTGGTTGTTCCCAGATATATCAGGGACTACTGATTAACAGTAACTCATTTCTTTCACTTTTGAGTTACTGCTCAGTATACTCAGTATAATTGTAAAATGCTGAGTGCCTTGTCTAAAGGTCAGCTGGTTTGAATATTTAGCATCCTTAGGCAGAGAAAGTTGGAGGTGTCACCAATCCTTGCCCCCCACAATCCAAGCAAAGAATTCTCACTGCGGTCAACTAAAGACAACCAACCATGCCCTGCACACACACCCCAACCTCCCTCACTGCCTAAGAAAAAAAATGAATAGAAAAAGAACATGCCCAAGTGACGCTGACACAAAAGCTCCATGCATACACTAACTAAAAGAATATAAGTTTAACCACCCCACCTCCTCTCCCACTTTCTCCTCCAACAACCTTATACTGCATTCAGTACTTAATGTCTCACATCCAGTGCCACTGCCAATTATGTTTAAAAAGAAAGAAAGTTTGAGGCACAGAGAAGTGTAGTGTGGAAAGCTAATGTAACTTTTTACCTAAGTAAAAAAGTAAGATGAGGTCCACAGTCTCTTTTGCTCTGGGCATACTGAGCCTTGATGCCTAAATGTAGTACAGTGGTACCTCAGGTTACAGACTCTGCTAACCGCAGCAGGAGGCCCCATTAGCTAAAGTGGTGCTTCAGGTAAGAACAGTTTCAGGTTAAGAACAGACCTCCAGAACAAATTAAGTACTTAACCCAAGGTACCATTGTATATAGCTGAAGCTACATGCTCATACAGTTAGTCACATACATATTACACATCTATTCAACGTAGAGCTACCTTGTTATAATCCTTACTACAGCCAGCAAATTGGATCAGTATTGTACCCCTGTCGGTGGACACGAAGAATAAACTTTTTCCTAAGGCCACCCAGTGAGTTATGGAAGATAATAGTAGTAGTAATAATAATAATAATAATAATAATAATTTTCTTTATATCCCACACGTCCTGGTTTAAAAACCGGGGCTCAGGTGGCTAACAGCAAATATAAAACACTGATTAAAATACGACTTAAAAACAGCATAAATCAGGATAAAATACAACATAAAATGCAGCATCAATATCAATTAAAATTCTAAAATTCAGGGGTCATTGGGTGGGACCCCAGTCAGTAGACATCAAATGATCACCAGGGCTAACTGGCCAAGTTGGTCCTACTAGGGCCAGCAAGGAGACCAGAGAAGGATTTAAATGTGGGGTCCCAGAAAGGGTTTCTTCATAGAAGAGGAAAGGGAATAGAGGATCAGGCTAATTCAAATTGAAGGCCAGGCAGAATAGCTGTTACGGCCCTGCGGAAGGAGATCAAGTCCTGCAGGCCCTAGTCTTGTGGGACAGAGCATTCCACCAGGTCAGAGCCATCACTGAAAAAGCCCTGGCCCTGGTGGAGGATAGTGTGGCTTCCTTAGATGTGAGATCGAGACGTCCTAATATTTTATCCACTGGGCTTGATATTTTATCCACTGGGCTGGAACATCCCTCAACCCAGCTGATCACGTTAGAAGTTTTAATGCTGCAGACTAATGCTGTTGTAATGGTAAAACAGTGGTGAACAATACAGTGCATGCGCTTATTAGAAGGACTAAGAAGCCGCTTCAGGTAAGATGCTCTATACATTGGAACGACAGAGGAGCAGTTCACCTGAAACCACCCAGGAGAGCTTGTGGCAGGAATGAAGCTTCCAGTTCCACATTTGAGCTGCTGGATCAGGGGCAGGGCACCTGTGCCAGCTGGGACTGACAGGATGTGGAGTTCAAGAATACCTGGAGGGCCACGGGTTTCCCCACCTCTGTGCTAGCTCAAAAGCCAGTTTCACATCACTGAAATGTCTCTTTCTTTCAGTTGGAGATTTGTGTTCCTCGCCAACAGTCCCACCTCCTTCTCATCGGAGCCTGTGCCCTTGGAACAGGCCATGGCAGGCCGCGGTGGAGCTGCACGGCCAAATGGGCCAGCAGCTGGGAACAAGATCTGTCAGTTCAAATTGGTTCTTCTGGGCGAGTCAGCTGTTGGGAAGTCCAGCCTGGTCTTGCGCTTCGTGAAAGGACAGTTCCATGAGTACCAGGAGAGCACAATTGGAGGTGAGTATTGGTGAACTCTAGATGTGAGTTAAGTTACAGAAGAGCCTTGGGCCTTTGCAGGATTCCCCCACCCCCACCCCAGCTTGCAAACTTTTTGTGATTAGGGAGCTCTTTCCACACCGATATGGTGCAAAGAATTCTCAGTGGGCCTAATAAGGCGCCCATTCCATTTCAAACAGGCGCTAGCCAGGCCTGTTGGTCAGCCCTGTTTTTCCCACCTAGGACATTATGTATTCCCTACATATCTCAACAGTCACTTACAGCTGTAAACTATTATAATTACTAAACAGATTTATAGACCTACATGGTACAAAACGGAATAAAGCGCAAGCTCCAAGACTAATAAAATCAGTTCGGCGAGCTCTAAAACAATAAAACCATTTATACTCTGAAACAACAATACGATTTAATCAGATGTATAATTAATCTTCCATAAATGACAAGGAAAGCCTTCCTAAACAAAAATGTTTTCATTAGCTGCTTGTCTGGTTTCAGCTGGTAATTCGTTCCAGAGAGCTGGGGCTGCAACACTAAAAGCCTGGTTTAAACTACCGGAGGAAGTTGGCAGCAGAGAGCAAGCTGTCGTTAAAGAAGTTCGTCTGCCATTGCTAATTCTCACTGCTCTTCTGACAGTGTTCTCCTACCCAGCAATATTTTCAAACAGAGGCAACTTGGCAGAAGGATGTAGTTGTCTGTAGGGGGCAATGGGGGTTAATCTGTTTCAACAGTTCCTTCTAGACTTTTTTTTAGAGCCACGATGCCACTTCTGGCTGAAACTTGCAGACGAAACGGCAAAAGGAAGAGAAGGCTGCGCATTTGTCTATCCTTGCAAAAATGTCAGTTTGGAAGAAGCGTCTTCTCTGCCCTGAGCAGATTAGCCTGCCTGATGCCTGAAGTTCTTGCTTCACCTCTTACAATGCCCCTCTGTCAAGATCGACCTTGGCAGTTCTGGCGCAATTTTTGCAAAGTGGGGACTTCTGGCTTGGTTGGAGTCAGTGATGTCAAGTCCTATTTGGTTTCATCAGACTACAGAATCTGAATAGAGCAGTGGCTGCTTAGGAGCTGGTTTGCCCGCAGCCTGCCAGGTACATGTTGTATATGTGCTGTGGGGCATAGGACTCAGTGTGGACTGACCTGACCTCTGCCTTGTGTGCTTTATAGACCCACTCCACTTCATGCTGCAAAAGGTATGGACAGGTGGAGCCTACTTGCATACAGATAGAAGGCCTGGTTCACCTTAACGTTCTTTAGTTCATACAGTGGTACCTCGGGTTACATACGCTTCAGGTTACAGACTCTGCTAACCCAGAAATAGTGCTTCATGATGAGAACAGAAATCGTGCTCCGGCGGCGGCAGCAGGCCCCATTAGCTAAAGTGGTGCTTCAGGTTAAGAACAGTTTCAGGTTAAGTACGGACCTTCAGAACGAATTAAGTAGTTAACCCGAGGTACCACTATATTCTGCTTTGCCTGTTTTGCAGGCTTGGGATGGTAAGAACAAACAGGATTATGCAGGTGCCAAAACAAAATTCTCTGCTAGGTAACCCACACTTGGCTTTACCCCAGCTGTCAAATGCCATTCCGAAAACAGAAAACTTTGCAGTTCTTCCAGAAAGCATTTTGGGTTCTGAACCTGGCATCTAGAAGAAGAGGGCAGTTGCACAAATGTGAGGGCAGTTGTCCTGTGCCCTTCCTGTTTGATCTTGGCATGCATCCCTTGGTGCAGATCATATCAGCCCAAAGCTTAACTCCTGCACAAAAGCCAAAGGGATGTGTGAACTGATCTTCTGTCCAAGCTCTGCACAAAAGGAGGGCTTCTATTTAACAACCCCCCGCCCCGCCTTCAAATGGCTAACATTGCTCTTTTTGCAGCCAAGTCCCATAGTATCTTAATCACTTGCAGCAGGGCTAATCTGTGGCCCTTCAGATGTTTGGTTTGGACTACTACAATGCCCCACAAATAACCCAGAGATGCATTTTAAATAAGAGAAAACATTCTACTCATGTAAAAACATGCTGATTCTCAGACTGTCTATGGGCCGGATTTAGAAGGCGATTGGGTCGGATCCGGTCCCCGGGCCTTAGTTTGCTTACCCATGGGTTAGCATGTCAGATTAGGACCTGAGTTCAAATCCCCACTCAACCATGATGCCCGCCAAGTGGCCTGTGGTTAGTCGCTCACTCTTAAGCCTAACCCATCTCACAGGGTTATCATGATGATAAAATGGGGGGGTGGAGAGAACTATTTACACTACCTTGAGCTCTTTGGAGGAAAGTTGGGGTAATAAAAGTTTTCTATAACTACAAAAAATACAACAGAATTTAAATTAAATAGCCATAAACAACAATATCTCCAAGTATACAATAAAGTTAAACAATCCACAGATATGATAGTGACGTTTAACAATAAAGAGACAAAAGCATAATACCGATCATAGCAAAAATTAATCATCTCCAAAATTACAAGTAAAACCTGTACTTGAATGTGCAAGTAAAACAATGGCATCTAGGAAATGTATCAGAACATGTGCAGAGTTCAATCCAAGTTTTTGTTGCACCTTCCTGTAACTCTGAGCTAATGTTTCTTTTCCAGCGGCTTTCCTCACACAGACCATTTGCCTGGATGACACAACGGTCAAGTTTGAGATTTGGGATACAGCTGGGCAGGAGCGCTACCACAGTCTGGCACCCATGTATTACCGGGGTGCCCAAGCGGCCATTGTTGTCTATGACATCACCAACATGGTGAGGATTTTTGACTTTGTCTTGTCAGCTTAGACCCAAGAGGGCCTCTTCTCTTGTTCCGATAATCTTGAATGCCTGAAGTCCTGGACGTGTAGGAATCCATTTGACGAATGCTTTATCGCCCAGGGTATAACTTTCAAGGAAAACCAAACCCCTTGGGCTTGCTTTAAGACTAAAAATGCTTGGTTTTCCTTGGTGGTATGAAAACAGGCTGGGCTCTTTAGACCTTAGTTGCAATTGGAATTTACTGTTGGGTCTAGTAAGTGAGGTTGTAAATATATTGTCTGGGCTTCACCACTTTGGATGGCATCGTCTCCATGATGCAACATTCTTCCATAAAAAAATAATAATCTCTGCATCTGGAAAAGTAGCATGTTGGGAAAGGGGGAAGCTAAAAGCGTTCGCCTGCAGCCTTTAGTAGTACAACAGACTCAACTACTGCTTTCTGTTGGAACACTTCCGTGCTTACTGTTCTTGTGTCAATTTCATTTCATTTCCATATACTAAGGCATGTGACAATAGCCCCAAAACACACAATTCTGTGAGCTCCTGAACCTTAGCCAAATCTTAAAATCTTGGTATTTAAATTGGATGTTGAGGAATTTTGAAGTCTGGTCTTAATACAGCAGTTTAATGTCCCCATGCAATGTTTGTTAAGCATAAACCTGTCCAATGCACTCATTTACATGTAAAATCCAGCAGCACCCATAACTCTGAATGTTATAAAAATGTCATTTTTGTTAGCCATTTTTCCTCCGCCGCTGTCAATCTTTGCCCAGCCTTGGATGTGCAAAGCTAAGATGGAAGTGACAGGCCAGTGAACATGTGGTTCTGCTTGTTAGGAAGAGTGTGTTGGCATTCCAGTTAGAAAGAACTGGTATTCTTCTTGGACTGAACTGACTGCTGAGCTGACTTCCCTCTTTCCTTGCCTCTTTCCTTCTTGTAGGACACCTTTGTACGAGCCAAGAACTGGGTGAAGGAACTGCAGCGGCAAGCCAGCTCTAACATAGTCATTTCCCTGGCAGGGAACAAGGCTGACTTGGCCAGCAAGCGAGCTGTTGATTTCCAGGTGAGTGGCATTCATTGCCTTGGGAAGTAAACCTCCTTGTAGTCGTCCTGTGACTGCAGGAAGCTGCTGTCATGAACTTGCTAACATGGCTAGGCAAACCACTTTCCTCTCCAGCTCATCCAATATATAAGTAACTAGTGGGAAGTGCTTGGCACGGCATGGGAATTTAAAGAAACCAATAAATATTATGATTTTTAAATTGATAGTTTGATTAGTGAATTTCAGGGCTGCACGTACACACACACACCAACCCAGGGATTCGACATGACCTGGCCCTGAACCAACTTGAGGGGGCAAAGTCATGCCAAAGTCACATTTCTGTCCACCGTCTTGATTCAAAATGGCGGAACTCACACCTCATGAACCCCCATGCTGATACCTTGAGAGGTGGCCAAAACAGACAGATAGGCAGGCATACAACTTTACAATATACACTGTATAGCTTTGAAAGTCTTAGGAATGTGCTATAAATGCTAAGTGATCATGACAGTGTGAGCAAAATTCTGGGAATTGTCAAGTATCTTGTACGGTAACATGCTACTATGCATTATTATTTTTTAAAATACTTGTTTATTTAGTAGGTTAACATCCTGTTTTTTCGCTAAAGTAAAACACAACAGATACCCCCCAAAACAACCAGCCCCACTCAAACAAGAACCAGCATCATATGTTCTTCCCACAGGGCAGATGGTATCATATTAGACAGTCATTCAGTCGAGTTCCATAGTGTGTTACACAGTAGAGGCAACAAGTGGAAAAACCACAATGTGAACTGAAGACAGTGCTATCATCGATATAAAACAGGGCAGAGTAGTAGTTAATTCTCAAAGACCAACTGAAATAGCCAGGTTTTACTTGACTGCATAAAGCAGAGAGGAGGTTGTTATAATCTCCTTTGGAAGGGGAATCCAGAAGTATTGGGGCGCCGACAGAAAAGATCCTGGTAGAGAGTAATAGTTTTCCAATACAGTGGTACCTCGGGTTACAGATGCTTCAGGTTACAGACTCCACTAACCCAGAAATAGTACCTCGGGTTAAGAACTTCAGGATGAGAACAGAAATTGTGCCGCAGTGGGAGGCCCCATTAGCTAAAGTGGTGCTTCAGGTTAAGAACAGTTTCAGGTTAAGAACGGACCTCCAGAACCAATTAAGTTCTTAACCCGAGGTGCCACTGTATTATGGAGTTCTGGAGAAAGGGCCTCATGAGTAGATCTTAAGCATGTGTGTGGCGGTGGGGAGGCACTCGCTTCTTGGAGGCATCAGTGGCTGCCCCACAGCTGTCATGCCAGGTTCAGTTACCATTGAGTCATGCCGTCCTGGGAGACTGGAGTGTCTCCACTGTGCCACCCCCCGGGATGATGCTGGCAGTGGCCAAGGCTGTCGTCATTCCTCCATTAGCGAATTCTGTTTTTCAAGCACAGCTGGGACACCCAACAAACATGATGCCCCTTGCCAGGCCTGCTCCAATCATAGCTCTTTTCTCTGAGCAGTTCCACGAGCCTCTTGTCTGCAATAGTTTGGAATCCACGTCATCTTTCCCATCCTGGGAGCAAAACGCAATGTGGTGGCCAGAACTAAGTGAGGGTGCAGGGCGCTGACAGCAGTATTGAACTGAACTGGAAAGCCTGGAGATTGCTATGCAGCTGTGGTGGCTACCCATTCACCAATGAGTTTAGCTGTCTTCTCTTTACCATCTCTCTGTTTATAGGCGTTTGGTGAACAGAGGTTGAAGGCAGTGTTTATATAAAGGGTAGCACTTCTGACATGTCCCTTCCTTTCCGTTACTGAGTTGTGGTTCTAGGAAGCACCAGATCAGGCTGCCTAAAGGTTGGCTGAGTACATGTCTCTGCACAGATTCTGATTTGGCTCGACACATTCCCTTGCAGGAAGCCCAGTCCTATGCAGATGACAACAGCTTGCTGTTTATGGAGACATCCGCAAAGACGGCAATGAATGTGAACGAGACCTTCATGGCGATAGGTTAGTAAAGTGGGGAGACGCAGGGTGGCGAGTCACCCTCCACACTGCCATAAATTGGGGACAACGTGATGTTAAATAAATAGACACACACACACACACACCACAATCTTGGGTTCCTGAACAGCTTGGGGTGCAGTTCGCTGCAGAATTGGCCAGTTCAGACTTGAGGAAACTTGCATGCCAATAATAATAATAATAATAATAATATTAATAATAATTTATTATTTATACCCTGCCCATCTGGCTGGGTTTCCCCAGCCACTCTGGGTGGCTTCCAACTGAATATTAAAAACAGTACAGGAACAGGAAAGGCCATGTGGGGATTCATTCATTCATTCGGTTTCTATGCAACCTTTTTCTCCAAGGAGCTCAAGGTGGTGTGCATGATTCTTCCCCCACCCCCGGTCATTTAATCCTCACAACAAGCCTGTGAGGTAGGTTAGGCTGAGAGGCAGTGACTGGCCCAAGGTCACTCAGTGAGCTTTATGTCCAAGGTGGTATTTGGCCTCTCAGGTCCTAGTCTGGCACTCTAACCCAGTGTTTCCCAACCTTTTTTGGGCAAAGGCACACTTGTTTGATGAAAAAAATCTCGAGGCACACCACCATTACAGCCCCGTGACGTCAGCGCGCAGCGTCACGCCGGGAGGGATGCACGAAAGTGTAACTTTCAATTTTTTCCCCTCCCCCTTGCCGGGGAACCTCCAAGCTTTGGGGGTGGGGGGGGAGGAGGCAGCAAAGCGAGGGACTGAGGGACTCCTCCAACGACAAGGGTTGGGGAAGAAGAGAAAGGGCTATTCCGCTCCAGTCACGGGAGGGGAATATGTACTGGCCCAACTGGTGTGCGGTCTTCGGAAAGCGGGGTGCGGGAAGGAAGCCTAGGCTCGGGGTCCACCGACCTCGGCGGAGAAAGGCAACAACCGGAGCCGATGACGAGCCGGCGCGTGCGTGCAGCGGCTGGCCTCGAGCTCGGGAAGCTGCGCGCGGCGATGTTGACGCGGGGCGCGCGAGAGCTTGGGGGCGGGGCGGGAGAGAGAGAGAAAGAGTTGGCAGCACCAGGCGCTGTTACTTATTGCGCTGCGGACGCTGCCAGCAACTGCGGTGGTTGTGCGGCGGCCGCCGCCGCAGAACGTCCTCGTCAGTCAGCTGAGCTGCCTGGCGGCGTAGGGAGCCGAGGGGCGGGGCTTCCTTTCTGAAGGAGCTGAGGGTGGGGGTCCTCCGGTGCCTTCGGCGAAACGGCGCCGGCCCAGAGCGCTTCTAGGAGGCTGCCTTTGTGCGCGACGTAAAGCCCTCTTTCCCTCCCTCCAGCCCCGTGTCACATGTGGAATAAATAAAAACTGTGGCTGCATTGTAGCTACATCCCGGCCTCGGATCCCCGCGGGATTTGCCTAATCCTTTGGAAGCCCCCTCCCCTCCCCGGCCCCCCATTGTTCTGTCGGGGGTCCCGCGCCCCCCTCTCGCCTGTCCCCCAGGCTTTGTTCTCGATTTGGAGAGGCGGCGAGGCTCAGCTCCGGGAGAGGGAGGCTGCCTTCCAGCCCGCCGTGCGCCCCGGGAGCCTGGACGGCGGGGACGGGAAGGAAGGCGCTTTGGGGGGCGCGGGGCGCCGTCCCGCCGCCGCCTCTCCCAGCAGCCCGGCAGGTTGGGGAGGGCGCGGAGGGGCGCCCGGCGCGGAGCTGGGAGCCTCCGCGAGGCCCCGGCGCGGAGCTGGGAGCCTCCGCGAGGCCCCGGCTCGACGGGGCGGGATAAAAAGGCGGCGCCGGCTCGCAGCGCCTCCCCGAGCGCCCTTTGCACTCCGACCGGCGGAAGCGGAGGCTACGCGGCTGCGGCCGCCCAGCCTGGCCGGGGATGGCGGGGCGCCAGGTACCGGCAGCCCTCGAGGGGAGGCGCCGGCGGCGTCCAGGCCGCTGGGGGATGCGGGAGCCGAGGGGGCGCCCGCGGGGGAAGGGAAGGGGAACCCCCTCCTCTGCAGCGGGGCCCGAGGGCCTTGATCCAGATGGGCCGTGGCGCTCCAGCGTCTCCTCCGGTGGAGAGCGGGCGACCTCCGGTTGGGGGGCAGCAGGGGTGCCAAATGGATTAAAATATTGGGGGGCGCCCAGGTAAGCCCCACTCCAGGATAGATGGATTTCTATCCTCCGGGGGTCCTTCGGCGAAACGGCGCCGGCCCAGAGCGCTTCTAGGAGGCTGCCTTTGTGCGCGACGTAAAGCCCTCTTTCCCTCCCTCCAGCCCCGTGTCACATGTGGAAAAGGGGGCTGGATCCAGTGACGCAACTCGGAAAACTGTTAGGGAAGCCAGAGCAGGAAAGTGAGTGGGAGGCGGCGGCGGCCGCTTTAACCCACGTTTCCTTTTTGAAAGAGAAACCAGTGTTTCCCAACCTTTTTTGGACTCGCTCGCGGCACACCAGGCAACAGCTCGCGGCACACTAGTGTGCCGCGGAACACCGGTTGGGAAACACTGCTCTAACCACTACAGAACGTTGACTCTCTGTTGCCAAAAGTGTTGGGTAGGAGGAATACAGGTTCTGGAAGATCAGGTGGAATGAGGTCCCAAGGGAGGGGAGCTGAAATAAGGGCCTACAGAGTAGGTAGTGTGGTAAGAAATGGGGGGGGGGGAGGCGTGAGAAAGAAGTAGGGTAGAAAGGCCAGAGGGGTGAGCAGGAGGCAGTGGTTAAGCAAGGCAGCTGGGGGCAAGGGGTGTGTGGGAGTAGAAAGGCACGAGATTCTAGAGACAGAGAAGCTGAATATACCCATCTTGACTGACCAGCTGAATATTGCGGTGCCAGTCACCCCTTTGAAAGCAGCAGGAAATTGAGAGGTTGCTAGCTTCCAGGAGCTGGGACGGACATGATCTTAATCCCCTGCTCCCGCCACAGGGTGAATCTTACAAACCAGTTCACTTGCATGTGCCTCTTCCTTTTCCCCCCCTCAGCCAAGAAGCTCCCCAAAAACGAACCGCAGTGCCCAACGGGAACAGCAGGCAGGAACCGAGGTGTCGACCTCCAGGAGAGTAGCCAACCCAGCAAGGGGCCGTGTTGCAACTGAAGGGGCCACACTGCCTGCCCCTCTGGGCGGCCCCAACTGGAATGCGCCTGAACCAATCGCACTTACGGAAGAACAGCTGCCAGGATCCCTCTTCTTCCCACCTCTTCCCAATCCCCCCCTTTTTTGCTGCTGTGTCTCCTCCCCTCTCTTTCCCTCTGGTTGCAGAATGGAGGGAGCAAGAACCACCTGCCCCCTCTTCTGTACAAATGATGAATTCATCTTTTTAAAAAAAGTCTTAGTCACCTTTTTTTTTAAAAGAAGAGCAAAAACACACAAAGGAACTATGGCACACCTCTTTGACCACTCTTAATGGGTAGGTGATGTGCATTTCCAGAGCTTTGGCCTCTCCTATCTCTGTTTTTCCTTTTCCTTTTCTTTTTCTGAAGGGTTCTTACAGCCTCGTATTTGCTCGCAGCCGCTTGGAAGGAAGACCTGCCTTACTTCAACCAGAAGTGACTTTTGGAACACCTGCTTGGTGATTCTAAGCCACTTCCACCGGTAGGGCTTAACCCTAAAGAAAATGTGGTTGCCGTAGGCTGGGGGAGGCGCTGAGAGTTGTATGCTGGCAGAACGACAACTCCCAGGATTCCTTGGCCAGGAGCCTGGTTTAGATACGGTATAGACTTGCTTTTATAAAAAGCAGGTACTGTAACGAAACACACAGGTAACCACTAAATGAAACTGTAGCAGTAATGCTAGATTGAGGAAGAACTTCTGGCCTTTAAGCCTTGTTTTGACCAAATCACAATTATGAGTATTGCCAGGGGTTGCGGGGGGGGGGGGAGGGATCTGATTTTCTTCTGTATTTTGTATTCTTGTTTTCAACATATAACCAATCAGTATCTCTTTAATCACATATACCAACTAGCCTTGCACCCACCTAAGTTTGCATTGGGCTTTGGGTATACCAACTCTGCATTAATATTTTTTTTTCCTATTTACATTTTGGATATAATGCACTAATTCAGCCTGTTGAAGAAAAATTGTATTAAAATTATCACTTCTTTTGAGCAACGTGATGCCATTGTTAATAACCCTATAGTATGATGTTGGTGGGTGTATAGATGCAGGGGGGTGGGGAGGATGGACGTGATGTGGGGAGGGGGGCAATAATATGTATTCACATGCAGATGAAATATTGGTAATTCCACTAAATAAAACTGCAGAAGGGAGACCACAGATTTTGTTTCTGATCTAGTGCCTGAGGCAATTTTGTCTTAACTCATATTGGTATTTAAGGGGAGGAGTCTGTCAGTCTCTTCAATGCAAAGCTCCAGTTGTGTATGATTTGAAAAATAAATTTTTTATAAATCAGATACTGACCAGAAAAGCGGCTTCTGTCTTTCTATAAATCAGCCACGTTAATGTCTGGCATCTCCACTAAACTTACCTGGGAGTAAGATAACTCTGAAATTTGGAGGACATTTTACAGTTTGCTCGGATGAATTCACATTGTTACACTCTCAATTGCTGGGCTTACACTGCTAATATTCTTAGATTTTCAAGTATTGTAGTTCTTTATCCTTGGATCACAAATATTCTTCCAAGAATGAATCTGTATCTTGAAAAGGAAACAAGGGACTACTGTGTGGGTGGGTGAAACAGGGCTTGTTGCCTGCAGGTGCCCTTGAATTGTGGACTGAGCTGCTGTGACATCATGGAATGTTTGTAAGCATCTAAATTGTCCAGGAGAAAGCATCTGTAAGGAAAACATTAGTAGTGCCATTTCTGTAAGGGAAGTAAAAGGTCCGTTTGCCTGGTAAAGAATCTTCACATAATGCTGAGTGAAGTTTTTGATGTTAGGAATGGAATCCTCCTCCCCTTGGAATTGGTTGCATCAAGTGTTTGCGGGGGGAGAGGGTGTTTCAAAGAAAGAAAAATATTGTTTACAAATTAAAATAGATCTGCGACTTTGTAGGAATGCAAATATCAGTCAGGTCTCCAAAACTAGTTTTTGATGGTACAACAGAATTCAAATATAGATGTACAGTATAGACTATTTCCAGAACTAAACACCCAGGTTGGTTAATATGGCCTTGCATTGGGAAGGCATGCCTACCTCCAGTATGTAATAGGTCAAAAACATGGGATGGTGTTCACACTCTATTAAATCTTATGCTCCATTGAGGTCAGTAAAAGAGCATATGCTCTGAAGGCTCAGCAGCCTTGATCTCTTATTAAAATGATCTCTGGTACTATGGCTGCAAAAGACCTGAAACTTCTTCATTTGCCTTCCTGAATAGTGTTGCCACCTACCCCCAGATCCTGATCAGTTTCCAGAACTGAGAGCCAAAATCTCAGCTAAACTGTTAGGTCTCATTTTTACTCCCTTTGTTTCTCTAGCAAAGCCAGTAGATCCAGGAAGTCAGTTTCCACAAAGAAGTCCTTCTGTGCTTGTAGTTTTGCAGTCCTGTATCTAGTCTGACTGAAGGCATTCTTTCATTCACTGTATATTTGTACTTTGAAGAGCCAGGTAGGAGTGGTTCAGTTTATGTGTATTTGTAAAGGTGAGAGGCATTCTTTGAAGGCTTCACTTCTGGGCAGCATTGTACAAAAGAATCAACGTTTGGTTCTTTTCATGAGAAGCAGCATTTGGCATGTATTCTGAGGCATTTTGTCCTTTGCAGGTAACTTTTTAAAAAGAAGGAATTCTAGGTCACTCAACACAAGTTCAGAGCCATTCCAATATGCAAGAGGGTTGTCACTTTCTGTAAGCATCTTTTCCTGTGACTTTTAGATTTTATAAGTTTTATTGTAACAAAACATGCATTCATTCAAGACAGTAATAATGATGATCCCATTAATAAAACAAACCTGGTTCTTGGAACGCCCAACTCCCATCAGCCCCAAGCTATTATTGCCTGTTTGAGTGAGTCGGGAGCTGCAGTCAACCTGTGGAGGCTCCGAGCCCTGCCACATAAAAGTACCCCATTTCAATAATTTTTTCACCTGATCATTTCAAAGCTATTAGCAGTCCTCTTAAACTTATCCTTCTGAGAGGAAAACCCCTTTCCTTCAACCTGCAATATACAAAGCATCGCGATACGTATTTTACATATTACATACATATTTTAATTTAAACATAATTATGTTGCGTGTTTACATTCCCATATTTCTACACGAGTAAACAGCATTCATCTTTTCTTTTTTTTCAGTCTTTGTTTCAGTAGGAACAGAGGTCACGTTTCCCCTTTTCGCACCGCACCTTAATTCTCCTTTTCAAGTAGCCCGATATCTGCGGAACTACATCACCCAGCATGCAACTGGTGGCAGGGGGGAAGCTGCTGCGTAGCAGCCTCCAGCCAATAGCCACACCAGAACCCCTATCCTGCACATGCGCAGTGGCGCCCACGCGCCCACGCCGCCTCGGAGGGGTCCCGGGCATCATGGCGGAGCCGGAGGTCTCATCGCAGGCTAGCCGGGCCCCGCAGGCTAGCGCTCCCTCCGTCTCCACAGTGTCTGCGGCCACGGCTCCGCCGGTAGTGGGAGGAGGCGGAGCCGGAGGAAGCAGCAGCGATCCGGTTCGCCCGGGGTTGAGCCAGCAGCAGCGCGCGAGCCAGCGTAAGGCGCATGCGCGGAGCTTCCCGCGGGCAAAGAAGCTGGAAAAGCTAGGGGTGTTCTCAGCCTGCAAGGTACGGGGGCCCGGAGGGATCAAAAGACTGGGGATTCCTCCCGGCTACGTGGTCCAGCCATAGCTGCATCCTTTCTCTAGACCAGAAAAGATGTTGCAGACATAGAAGCTGTATTTGTTTGTCCGGGATGTTCGTTTACGTTTTTAATCGCCCATATCCTGGAATTCTATGGGCAAATGGCAACAGTTGGAAATAAAATGTTTTTTGATGTAAGGAGCTGCCTAACAAACCATGTGGTGCACACTGTCTGCTCTGATTTTCTGGTAATGGGCCTCCATGGTTTAAGGCAAGGTCTTTTGGATGATGCCTGCCTTAAATCTATTGCCTGTTGATGCCAGGGAGTGAACCTGGAATCTTCTGTTTATTATATTTTGCTCAGCTATAACCCCATTTTAAAAATAATAATACAGTAATTATAATATGCATGTTTAGAAAACAATCATGAAGTGAATCTTGAAATATGTAGTATCTCTAGCTCAGTTGGTAGAGCGTGATACTCTTAATCTCAGGGTTATGTGTTTGAGCCCCACGTTGAGCAAAAGATTTCTGCATTGCAAGGGGTTGGATTAAATGATTCTTGTTTTCCCTTCCAACTCTTCTAAAGCCTTGTATCTGCCCCACCTGAAAGAGCAGTACTGAGCTTTATGGCAGGAAGCATGCCGTTGGTCATAGCTGTTAATTCTAATCATGAAATTCATTTCCACAAAAAAATGAAGCTATTGCAGCACTTCCAATTGTGGTCAGTGCTATTCCAAATCATGAGTGGTGAAGTTAATGGGCATGACTGACTAAGATTCATTAATTTCAATAGGTCTACTCTTCAGTAGGAATAGCATTGGATACAACCCATTATGCCTGATCTAATACTAAATATGTGGATGAATCAAAGGATATCAGTATCTGGAGCTTGGTGATTGTGAGTGATGAAATGGAACTTGGCCTTTTCAGCTTCCCACTTCTGGTAGTTGTGCATCTCTGCTCAAGGATTCCCGTGTCCCTTTTCTGCAGTCAGGCAGATGAAGTCATTCCCACTGTATCTTTGCAAACCTCTTTTTGCAGTCATTTGCAGCAGCATACTGATATGTGTGGGAAGCGACTGTGCATTCCATAACAGGCACCACATAGAATGGCTCTGCTCTGCCTTAAAACAATGAGGGAACCGATTAAGTTGCATAAACATTTTTGCATCCCCCCCTCCCCATTTTTAGTGGCTGTGATTTTATGGGAAGCAAAAATGGACAGAGAAAGAGGGAGGAAACACATTCCCATTGCCTTGGCCACCTGAGCCAACTCTCCTCTGTGCTGCGGCAGTTCAGCACACCGAAGCGGCAAGTGTCTGCTCAGACGCTCATCCAAGTATATAGGTCCTGCCTGTCTGCACTGTGTTGCTGTCTGTGGGGTGCATGCTGTACCTGCCAAAGCACATTCTGGCACAACTGAAGTCTGATAGGGGCTTCAGAGAGGTGCCATTGCATCTCTGTTTACTCCTACTCATCTCAATAAATAGTCAAATCTGACTTGCTCTATAATATGTCATCATGTCTGCTGCAATAAATTTCTGATTGGATAGGATCTCGCAGTGAAGGGAAAAGAGGTAGCTCTGTACATTAAATAAAAAAAATTTAAAATGGTGCAGAAGCAGATCAGTAGAACAATGGCTGTAAACAGCCAGGAAAAATGAAGCCAAAAGGGGGTGAAGTTTGGTGTGTTTCCCCTGAAACCCACTCCAGGGTACATTTCACACCCCTTGAAAGCACCTTTTCTTTTTGCCTTAAACATGTCTGAGTGAAAATTCAGCATGGCTCTGCTTTTATTAAAGCAGCTTTTTACCTGTAACATGTTAGTTATGGTGTTCATGGATGTGAGCAATGCCCCAGTTTTTTCTACACATAGCAACCTTGCTCTCTCTCTCTCTCTTTCTCCCCACTCCTCCAGGCTAATGACTCTTGCAAATGCAATGGGTGGAAGAACCCAAACCCTCCCACAGCCCCCCGTATGGACCTGCAGCAGACGGTCACCAACCTCAGCGAGCCCTGCCGTAGCTGTGGGCACACGCTAGGTAACTCAGCAAGCCTCTCTCTCTCTCAGGCTGTTTTATTCCCAGCCCAGGTGAAGGCACTTGGGAGTCGGGAAGAGGACGTCCCCATCAAGTCTGCCACCAGCAAAAGTGATGCTGTACTGTGAAAAATGCCCTTCTCCTCTGCCATATATGAATCATCCTTTATTAGTTGCTTCAGACATCTGGTGGAAACGTGTTTTTGCCCAGGCATTCCCTGACCCATAAGATTGGACCCTGTTACTTCTGAATGCCTTATTTTGGCTGTTCTTACTTTTATTTGTTTATTAGTATTTATTTTGACAGTTTATATACAGTACTGCTTAGTTATGATTGTCTCTAAGCAGTGTACGAAAAACCTTCTTTTTTAAAAAAGGGTAGGGATCGTGTCCCTGCTCACTTTGCCCACCAATCCCACTTGCTTTCCCCATGGTGTGCAAAATCCCCACTCCCCCACCATCACCCCACTATCCTTATGAGGAACTGCATCCTTACATTTGTATTATATGTGAAGGTAAAAAAAGAAAGCGCTCCTGTTCTTTGGGTGCAAAATTCCATATTGGATATCAGACTTTATTTGGTGGTTATTTAAAAAAATTTAAAAACAGTTTGTTTCATTTTTATCTCAGTCTGTCTCCGTCAAACTCAGGCCAGTGGACGTGGTTCCCCCTTTCATTTTATATTCACGACAACCCTATGAAGTACAGTGGTACCTCGGGTTACGTACTTAATTCGTTGCGGAGGTCCGTTCTTAACCTGAAACTGTTCTTAACCTGAAGCAGCATTTTAGCTAATGGGGCTTCGCGCCGCTGGAGCCTGATTTCTGTTCTCATCCTGAAGCAAATTTCTTAACCTGAAGCACTATTTCTGGGTTAGCGGAGTCTGTAACCTGAAGCGTATGTAACCTGAAGTGTATGTAACCTGAGGTACCACTGTAGGTTAGGATGAGAGGCAGTGACTGACTCAAAAGTCATCCAGTGTGTTTTGTGACTGAACTCACTGCCCTCTGTCCTACTTTAATACTCTGACCACTATACTGTACAACAGGGGTGGACAATGAATGGTGTTCAAATGTTTGTGTGTATCATCTTTTATGACAGCTATACCCTGTACTTTAGCCAAAAGACGTCTCTCACAGAGATCATTACTATTATGGTCCTGGCACTGCTCACAGGACCAAAACGGGACCAAAAACTTCTAGGGTGGCCAGGTGCGGTCTTCCAGGCCTTGAGACTCTCCCTTAGGTCACACCCCTCACCAGTCCTGCTCTACACCCTCCTTGCCTGCTTTGCTTCTCTGAAATGTGATCTTGAATTCTTGAATTCCCTGAGTGGAAGTGTGTGTGTGTGTATCTTGAAATCTCTGGTTGCTGGCATGTATCGTACTGTACAAAGGTAAGAGTTGCATCTATTGCTTAGATTTCATTTGCCTTTAGTCACACCCACCACTGGCCCGTGGCCCCCAGAATGTTGCCTGCAACGGAATGTGGCCCTCAGGCTGGAAAAGTTTCTAAAACTGAGTTTCCTGAAGTTGGGTCTCCAGCTATTTTTGGACTACAGTTCCCATCATCCTTGACCACTGCTCCTGCTAGCTAGGGATGATGGGAGTTGTAGTCCAAAAAAACCCCCAGCTGCAGACCCAAGCTTGGGAATCCCTGTTCTAAAAAGACATGACACGTGAAGAAAAGGGAATGGGGAGGCCAAAAGGAGTTGTAGTCCAGCAACAGCTGGAGGGCCACAGGTGCCCCTTCCCTCCTGGACAGAATCTTGCACACAGCAGACCTATATAATGTAGATAAGCCCCATTAGTTGCTAGATAAAGAGAGTTATCTGGATGGTGGCGGGGTGGGAGGTGGATGGATGATGAGCCTTTGTTGCGCTCCATTCCATTTGGGTTAGACCATGACCTGATTTCTCTCACCTGCCCTCAGCTGACCATGTGTCTCACCTGGAGAATGTCTCTGAGGAAGAGATCAATCGGCTTCTGGGGATGGTAGTAGATGTGGAGAACCTTTTCATGTCAGTGCACAAGGAAGAGGACACAGACACCAAGCAAGTTTATTTCTACCTGTTTAAGGTGAGCTCAAAGAGGAATAGTGCATTGCAAAATGTCCACAGTGGTGGTTGGGGGTTTTCTGGTGGGGCAGGTGGTAGGGAGAGCAGAAACTCAGCTGAATACAAGGAAGTTCTCAAGATCTTTTAAGTGGCTATTTCACATCAGTGCTTTGGTTGTTGGTAATACTAATGCAGAAATAACTGGAGACCAGTGTTGAAAAGTGTGGGAGCATAGGAAGATGTCTTGCATTGAGCCAGACCACCGGTCCTTTGAGTTTAGCATTGTCTGTGCCAAGGCTGGGGAGCCTATGGCTCGCCATTTGGTGTTGGGCTACCATCTAGTCATCTTTGAGCATTGGACATGATAGTTGGGGCTGCTAGGAGTTGGAGCCCAGCAACACCTGGAGAGCACAGGTTCCCCAGCACTGGCTGGCAGCAGCTCTCCAGTCTTTCCCGGGCCTACCAGGAGATGCCAGGGTTTGAACTTGCGATGCGCTGGCATGGAATTGTTGTGCACCTTAGATGGAAGCCATTCTGAACAGATTGTGGGCATCCCACATACCTTGGAACATCTTAGACAGAACTAGTAAAATCATCTCGAGGAGGATTTGAAATAGGAGTGACAGAAGGAATAGAAGAATATAGTATCAACGTGTTGGTATAAGAGAGAGAAGGTATTGTACAGCGGGGGGGGGGGAATTAAAACACCACGGAAAATGAAGTGGGAAGTCGAGAAAATATAAATTTATTAGGTATTGAAGTAAATATGTCAAACTTTTGAAAATTCAATAAAAAAATAATACAAAAAAAAACACCCTACAAGGAAATAATGGGTGATTCCCCCCGCCTTTTTTTCTTTGAGATTAAAACAATTTCTTTCCCCCCTCTCCACAGCTCCTAAGGAAATGCATCCTCCAGATGAGCCGCCCGGTTGTTGAGGGCTCACTCGGAAGCCCCCCTTTTGAAAAACCAAACATTGAACAGGTAAAAAGATGCCTTGAGAGATGTAAAATGCCAGGGTGCATCTAAAACACATGTTTGGCTCCCTGTGCCTAGAAAAGAAAAGGCTGTATTCCCCTCACAGAGCTACAATTCTCAGAGTAGTTTAATTAATCCCTCTTCACTGGGAACTGTGGGAATGGTTGCTCTGTGAGGGAACTAGGAGGCCTCCTAACAACTGTATAAATCATAATTTGGGGGGTAGGGCTCAGATGGCAACCCAGTATGCCAGAGACCCCACAGAAGTGTAAGGCTGCTATAGCTCACCTGGCCTTCTGTTCTCCCTCTCAGGGCGTCTTAAACTTTGTGCAGTACAAGTTCAGCCACCTGCCCCCTAAGGAGCGACAGACCATGTTTGAGTTGTCGAAGATGTTCCTTCTGTGCCTAAACTACTGGAAGCTGGAAACGCCGTCTCAGTTCCGCCAGCGCTCACAAAATGATGATGTGGCAACATACAAGGTTAACTACACCAGGTGAGCTGGGGGAAGCGAAGAAAGCAGAGCCCAAGTCTTAACTTGTGTTGGGAAGTTTTTAATGTTTGACGTTTTATTATGTTTTTATATGTGCTGGAAGCCACCCAGAATGGCTGGGGAAACCCAGCTAGATGGATGGGGTATAAATAAAATAATAACAACTATTATTGTTATTGTTATTAATATTATTTTTATTATTATTAGCAGCAGGGCTTATCTCCAATGACTCATTTGCATTGTCAAGTGTGGTTTGGTGACTTATTGATATAGATGAACTCCTCTGGGCAATTTCATTTCCATATTTCCTGAATAGCTACAGCAAAAAAACAACAACTCAGTGCTTCTCAGATGGGAGCCAGAGGTGAAGGGAGGGAGCTGATCCTGCAGCAAGCAGAGTCACTATTCATTCACCAGTGGAAGAAGTCATAGCGACTGCCGAAACTCTGCTGCCCTAATCATGAACGCTGCAGGGGAGTACAGTTGTACCTTGGCTCCCGAACACCTTGGGAGTCAAACGTTTCAGCTCCTGAACGATCGAAAAGTGAGTGTTCTAGTTTTCGAACGTTCTTTTGGAAGCCGAACATCCGACGGGACCTCCACAGCTTCTGATTGGCTGCAGGAGCTTTCTGCAGCCAATCAGAAGCCGTGCTTTGGTCTTTGAACGTTTGGAAGTCAAACAGACTTCCGGAACAGATTCTGTTCAACTTCCCGAGGTACGACTGTATATGGGACGTTCTGACCTCAGCAAATTTTCTTCTCCCTCTGGCCGCCTACCCCCGTTGGCTGATTTTTAAGAGGGCGTCTGAGATGGCCTGTACTCGTTCTTCCATCCGAGACAGTGCTGGATTGGTCCCCTAGTCCACACAGGCAGAGAGGAATGGAGGACTGCATTGATTCAATTGTATGTCAGGATTCTGCCCATTCACCTGGAGGCATGTGCGCTTGGGGAGGTAGAGGAGGTTTTCGAGGAAACCCAGGTTCGGAAAGAAAATGTTGGGAAACGCTGCCGTGACCTAATAATTCCATTTCCCCCTGTTGCGCTAATAAGTCCTCGCTGCCTGTGACACCTCTCTGGCCTTCCCTCACCCTAGGTGGCTGTGCTATTGCCACGTCCCCCAAAGCTGCGACAGCCTCCCACGCTACGAAACCACCCAGGTGTTTGGGCGCAACCTCCTCAAGTCCACTTTCACGGTGACTCGCCGGCAGCTGCTGGAGAAGTTCCGCGTGGAGAAGGACAAGCTGGTACCAGAGAAACGGACCCTCATCCTCACCCACTTCCCCAAGTAAGGCCAGTTCCATGAAGCTACAGGAAAGGGGGCCATGCAGCTGTAGCGGGTTGGTACCCAGTTTAAAATAGGCCCATTGAAATTGATAGATTTAGTTGGATACAACACTTTGGGTGCAAAATGGCAGCTCTGAGGAGTCCGAAGGCATATTTCCCTCCCAGAGTTACAATTCCCAGAGTTCCTTGGGAAGAGGGGTTGATGGTTAAACTGCTCTGAGAATCATAGCTCTGTTTAAAGTGGTGTGACACTGACGGGGTGCCAACTGTAAGGGACTCTGGGTGCCTGAGCACCCACAAAATTGTTGTGAGTGCTCAGCACCCACACTGCAGGACCCCCAACACAACGTTTGGTGCCTTGGAAAGCAGCGGAAGTCATGTCCGAGGTCTCAGAACCTGACTTCTGGTGCCACCGGAAGTCAGGTGCCAAGGCCAGGGGGGCGCACATGATGTCATGTCGCAGCATGACATCATGGGCACCCATAACCTAGGATCCAAGTCAGCTGTCCTGGGCACTAATATGAATGTACACCACCGATGCCTAAATCTGGTGCATGATTGGCCAGTCCCAATTTCTCATTCACTTTCATGATACTTTGGCTCCAGCTCATCCATGGGATTATTCTTTGGTGACTTGGTGTCCTGCTAGGTTAGCCATCTCTTTAGCCCTCTTTAGTTTCCTGGGGACTAAGGCCATTCTGGGGGCCAGTAAATTGCTTTTTCCCAGTGACCTCTTTTGACCTGTTTTCAAAAAAGATGTGAGAATGGAGGCTTGAAGGAGACTCACTCACAGCTACATAAGGTTGAGCATCATCTCCATTTTTAAAAGGTGGGGATTTTAACCCAGGTGGGATTTTAACCCAGGGCTAAAGCTTGAAGTCTCTGCCCCCACTGCATTGACACTGGGGTTCATAAGACTCCTGTATATGTTTTGCCCTGCTGATTCCCCTCCATTTCTCCCTGCCCAGGTTTCTATCAATGCTCGAGGAAGAAATCTATGGGGAGAGCTCACCAATCTGGGAGGCCGACTTTACTATGCCGGCGTCAGAAGGAACCCCACTCGTTCCCCGGCCAGGTGTGTATCTCTTGGAACCCTTTTTGGGCAGCCGTCTGTCCTCATGCAAATCTGTGACACAGCCTTATGGTGGTCAGCTCTGACTTGCAGGAGCTTTCCAAAGTGTCAAGCAGGGTCTTGCCCAGTCTTGCTACCCAAGGTTGTTTTAACTGGTGATTTGTACGTGGGGCCTGCTGCAATCAAAAAGGGGGGGGACCTGTAGGTCTGCTCTGACTAGAACTGGCATTGGCTACAACCCATAAATTCCCAATCAACTTTCTATTGATTGGGCTGTGTGGATTGGGTTCTCTGTTCCCTATTCATTTTGTCTCAAGATCCTGAACATCCACATTACAGCAGTCCACTAAGCGTTTATAAATGACCATTGTGGGTTTAGCTTTCTTTAAAGATCCAGTCATATCCTCCAGCACTGTAGGAGATCCTGAAACACTCAAAGCTGATGGTCCTTAGACAGACACCCGAAGGTAGCATGACTGGAGAGGGTTGCAATTCAGCACTCGTGGGTGGGTGCTATCTAAACCTCAGTAAAAGGGGGTAACCCATGCATGCCACCCTGAGCCCCTTAAAATGGGATATTTTAGGTATTACGGTGTAAGTTGGCTGCTTGTTGTGGCTATACGTTAAGTACCTGGGGCAGGTGAGGGTGGGTCAGACGATTCCTCCTTCATTTTCTGTTGCAGCTGCTTCGTGTCTTAATAGGGCTGTGTGTTCTTGTTTTTTTCCGTGCAGCAATCAGCACCGTTCCCGCAGCCAGCACTCCGCTCTTCAGCAAATCTCTGAGCTGCAGTTCCTCCTTGGCTTCCATTAACCTGGATGGCAGCTCATTGGATTCTGTGCCAGGTAAAGCCTGTAGTGTAGACGTATCTGGAGAATGTCCAAGCCAAACATCTTCAGCGAAGGGTTTAATAATAAGCCCTTGCTAGGAGACATCTGTTTTTCCCTTTGCAAAAGTGTTTCTTGAACAACCAGCCAAGAGTTTTGCAAACTCAGAAGGTTTTGTACTGAATTAAAAGCCGTTGGTTCATTCCTAGCCTCCTTGAGCCTGGGGGCACAGCTGGAAATCCAAGAAACATGAAAATAAATCTTGCTAGATCAGGAAAATGCCCCAACTAGTCCAGCATTCTGTTCTCACAGTGGCCAACCAATAATAATAATAATAATTTATTATTTATACCCCGCCCATCTGGTTGAGTTTCCCCAGCCACTTTGGGCGGCTCCTAATCAAGTGTTAAAAACAATACAGCATTAAATATTAAAAACTTCCCTGAACAGGGCTGCCTTCAGATGTCTTTTAAAGATAGGGTAGCTGCTTATTTCCTTCACGTCTGAAGGGAGGGTGTTCCACAGGGTGGGTGCCACTACCGAGAAGGCCCTATGTCTGGTTCCCTGTAACCTCACTTCTCGCAATGAGGGAACCGCCAGAAGGCCCTCGGCGCTGGATCTCAGTGTCCGGGCTGAAAGATGGGGGTGGAGACGCTCCTTCAGGTATACAGGACCAAGATGCCTTTGCGAAGCCTGCATGGACAAATTGAGTGTAACAGCACTCCACACTTGAAGATTCTCAGTAACTGGCATTCAGAAGCATACTGCCTCCAGCTAGTTGTGAAATACCCATTTTGCAGAAGAAAAACTGAGGATGCTCAGAAGCCACCCACCCACTCTCCAGTGAGAGGCAAACCACCAACACGCTCCAAATAAATAAAACACAGACAAAAGAAAACAGGCAACAGATAAGACCCCCCACCCAAAAAACCCTCCTTTTTATAAATATAGATAAAGAAACATTGGGAAGGGGGCCCTGGTAGGCAGCATCTAAGGGAGCTGTGGTGCCCATGAGGGCCAGGTTTTGGAACCCAGCTCCACAAGTATTGTTTTACTCGCAATCCATTCATAAGCTATATTTAACCATGTCTTAAATTTGACACTGCAGCTCAAAGCCACCTGTCACGTAGGAGTAAAACCCAGAATCATATTTATGCATATGCTGTTTGTTAAAAAAGAGCGAGAAGTTAACGTTTCTGGGAGTTATATCAATCACTTCAGCCTACTATTATTTTTTTGGCATAGGCGTAGATAGAGCCTGAGGCCTCATTCCTTTTCCCTGTCGCACAGGTGAGAAGAGGAAGCTTCCAGAGAGCTTGACGCTGGAGGATGCGAAGCGGATTCGCGTGCTGGGTGACATCCCGATGGAGCTCGTAAACGAAGTGATGTTGACTATCACAGATCCAGCAGCCATGCTGGGACCTGAGGTATGGCAAGCAGGAGGGGCATAAAGGAGCGGATATTCACCAACTTTCTGGGAATCAATTTTTAGTCTGAGGGACACGTTCTTTTTAGGGGTAACATTTCAGGTTTCATAGGCCGCTTGCTGGCCAGGGCCAAAAGCAAAAGTGAGCAGATCAGTGAATGTAAATTTTACCTTTGTGCAGCAGGCTAGTTTTAGCCCGCACTCAACTCCTCTTTCTCCTCCATGCCATGACACATTCCAGCCAGACAAAAGACATTCGAGAAGGATGCAGGCCCCTCAGGAAGGGGTGTGGCCTGGGGAGAGTGTGGGGCTAATAGAAAGGCTTAGTAAGGCACATTTGGCACAGAATACACCAAACCAATCTCAGCAGTTGTCACGCTAATTGTATGGTTCAGTTCCGGCCCGTTGCGTGAACCCAAGCAGATCTTCAGCCCCAAGTACTCATGGAACTTTAGGGAGAGACTTCCTAGGTTGAGACACATGAAATAACATTATCTTGAACTAGGGTTTTTTTGTTTTGTTTGTTAAAAACAACAACAAGAGGTTCTGCTCCTCTTACACCAGTATGGTGTAGTGGTTAAGAGCAGTGGACTCGTAATCTGGTGAACCGGGTTTGATTCCCCGCTCTTCCACATGCAGCTGCTGGGTGACCTTAGGCTAGTCACACTTCACTGAAGTCTCTCAGCCTCACTCACCTCACAGAGTGTTTGTTGTGGGGGAGAAAGGGAAAGGAGATTGTTAGCTGCTTTGAGACTCCTTAAGGGGAGTGAAAGGCGGAATATCATGTCCAAACTCCTCTTCTTCATCATCATACGTGGAGGAAAGTACCTAAACCTAAGAATGATAATACATACACAAAGCAAAGAGTGTAGCATAATGAAACAGAAAAAACATATCAAGCATTCCTTGGCTAATTAAAGCTTGGTGCTGCCTTCGATTTGCATTCCAGTCCACATACACTTCCCAAAGATTCAAGGAAAACAATTTTCTCTGACCTTATCTTCCCTTAATTAGTTTGTGACGCCTTCCAAGTTGTTTTTTTCCAGGTAGGCAAAGCCATGAGTCAGGCACAAGTTAATCCCATCATCCACAGACCACATACAGGTTTTACATTTTTTTAAAATTTAATATAATGGTCCATTTCCTTCAGACCTTGCATGTTAGCATTAACGAGTTCTGCCCGTGTTCTGCTTTTTCTTCGCTCCCAGACCAGCCTGCTGTCCGCTAACGCGGCCCGGGATGAGACAGCCCGCCTAGAGGAGCGCCGCGGCATCATCGAATTCCATGTCATCGGCAACTCACTCTCGCAGAAATCCAACAAGAAGATTCTCATGTGGCTGGTTGGGCTGCAGAATGTATTTTCACACCAGCTGCCTCGAATGCCCAAGGAGTACATTACCCGTCTGGTTTTTGATCCGTAAGTTGAGCAACGGCCCTGGTTCGTCAATGGTTGCGGGTAGGAACAGGTGTCTCATAAGACAGGTGCTGCATTAACACCACAACACCAACCACCACCACCCCAACCCTGAGTCTTTAGAACTGGGAAAACTTAAAAATCAGTGCAGATTTATCGAGTAAAGACTCAAAGAATATAAACCTAGGGACTTGTTTCCAGAACTTTCAACAAAAGGTTTGCCGACAAATTAGGATGTGAGCTGAGCCTCTGTTCAACAGCTTAGTCCAGTGGTTTTCAACCAGTGTGCCATGGCCCCCTGGGGTGCCTTGAATGATGGTCAGGGGTGCCGCCGGCAACACTGGCCTCTGTGCCTCTTTCCTTCTCTCCCTCCTCTGATGCCCTCTTGCATCTCCCAAAGGCTTGCACAGCAGTTCGTTGCAGCAGCCCTGGCTACAAGCTCCCCAGATGAACAGTGCCTCTGGGGCTGGCCGGGGGTGCTTCCCAGGCCCCTGTGGGGCAGTGTGAGGAGGCATCTCTCCTTGGGGCAGGGTGGGCAGCTCAGAGACCAGGGGCGGCAGCTGCGGCTACCCAGAGGACTCCCGGTGGGGAGGGGAAAGGATGCTGAGGGAATCCTCCACAAGGGAGGGGTGAAGGACTACCAGCTCTGCAGGCAAGGGGTGACAGAACAGGGCTGCTGAGCCCCACAGGGGTTCTGCAGAAAGAATGTACAGTGGTACCTCTGGTTGCAAACGGGATCCGTTCCAGAGGCCCGTTCACAACCTGAACAGAACCCAACCCACGGGTTGCGATTCGCCGCTTCTGCGCATGTGTGTGGCGTCATTTTGCGTGTCTGCGCATGCACGAGCAGCGAAACCCGGAAGTAACCCGTTCCATTACTTCCGGGTTGCCGCAGGACGCAACCTGAAGCAAACGTAACATGAAGTATGACTGTAGTTGGTCAAGGGAGCCGTGGACTCAAAAAGGTTGAAAACCTCTTGCTTAGTCTCTTCTTTCCCCCTTGCTGTGTGGTGCAATATCGTTTGTAAGTAAGTTGGCCGCACACAGTTCCTTGGCAACATTCTGTGGTTGACCCTTCCTGCTGAAACGCTACCTGATTGACAGAAGAAAACCATGCTTAAACAAAAATAAATAAATCACAATTCCTTTCTTTTAGTGTTCTGCACAATATATAGCCCAACGCCCAACACTGCTGTTTCCATCTTGACAAAAAGGCTATTTTTAGGTGTTAGAGCAGGGATGACGACTCACTGTGGCCCCAGTGGTCAGGAGCTGTAGGGACTTGCTGGGAGTTGTACCCCAAAAGCACCTTGATGGCCACTGGTTCCCCATCCCTATGTTAGAATGTTTACGAACATTCTGCAGCAGCTCACTCTTCCTGAGTTGTAGGCAGAGGTGGCCTGCAGGTTAGTTGTGCCATACTGGTCTCCTACATCCTAGTCTAATGCTCTGACCACTATGCAACACTGCTGTATATCCCTTTATTCAATTCAGTCCAGGAAAGGTATAGAGTGGGATGAGAGAATAATGATGCTCAGCATTCACCTCATAGGAATATAGGAAGCTGCCTTATACGGGACTGAATCAGTCTGTAGGCCCATTTTGCCCAGAATTAGCTATGCTGGCTGGCAGCAGCTCTCCCAGTATTTCAGACAAGAAATCTTTCCTAGCCCTAGCTGGTGATGCTAGGGTTTGAGCCTGGGGCCTTCTGCACACAGAACAGATGTCGTGCTTCTGAGTTTATGGCTCCTCTGCAGTCCAGACACTTCCATTCATTGCTCTGCTTTTCTTCACAGCAAACACAAGACTCTGGCACTGATCAAAGATGGCCGAGTGATCGGCGGCATCTGCTTCCGAATGTTCCCCACCCAGGGGTTCACAGAGATTGTCTTCTGTGCTGTGACGTCCAATGAGCAAGTCAAGGTAGGGTTGCTGGAGGTGGATTGTGTTACGATGTGGGGTGGGTGTGTTTGTGTTATGTGTATGTGTGAGTCTACCTGGCCAGGAAGGGCAATAGCCCAAGGCAAGGGGTGGAATTGAGCTCTACAGTAACGTTTGAGATCCTGCAGTCGATCGTAAACAAGTGCAAAGCATCCAGAAAAGTGGGAGCAAATTTAGAAAGCGTTCACCATTCCCGCCCTCTAACTATATTGCTGTCATTAATAAAGAAGTTTCTCTGTGAATGGAGGGCATATTGGGCAGGAATATGGGGAAAGGGATAGGCCAGAAATGGGTTCCTTCAAATTATTATTATTATTATTATTATTATTATTATTATTATTATTATTTATTAATTAATTATTTAACTATATAACTTTTAGAAGACATCTGAAGGCGGCCCCGTCTAGGGAAGCTTTTTAATCTTTTATTATGTTTTTATATGTGCTGGAAGCCACTCAGAGTGGCTGGGGCAAACCTAGTCAGATGGGCGGGGTACAAATAATGAAGTTATTATGATGATGATTTCATTCCAGGGGACTCCTGAATTATCCCAAAAAACGGTTGGGGTGTGTGTGTTTAAATGTCCCGCTCAAGTAAACCACACTGCACTTATATGCATGTTGCGTCTACATACCCGTACAACTGGGACCTGCAGCTTACTGTGTGACATTCTGCTGTTCAGGATTCTACTCCTTATCCCTTCCTGGTTTTCTTTCCCCAATAGAAAGCATTACTCAGTTTATTGCTCAGAAGTATTGCTTTTAGCATGCTCAGTCCACACTGAACTGTTTCCTCTCCCGTTCAAGTATGATAGGTATGTATCTGTCTACCTATTATACTGATACCTCACTTTAGATTCTTAATGGCAGAAGAATGGTAATTTAATTAAAAATCAATGGTAATTTAATGTGTCCATGCTTATGGCATTCACTGTTCCATATTTATTACCTCAGAATTGGCCATTACTTACCCCAGAATCAATTTTAAATGGAACTCATTTAATTTTGCCATGCTTAATGATATTCTGGGTTTTCCTGCATGAATCCTCAAGTCATCAGATTCTTTTCCCCCCAGCGGTTTGCCACTCCCATTCTTTCCTCATTCCCTCTTATGTCTCTTTGTAGGGTTATGGGACCCACCTGATGAATCACCTGAAAGAATACCACATCAAGCACAGCATCCTGTACTTCCTCACCTATGCTGATGAATATGCCATTGGCTATTTCAAGAAGCAGGTACTACAGCATCGCTGATGAAGGTTTATTTAGAGCCAGCTTTTGCCTTCATGGTTCCATAAAGAACTCAGAAGTGCCTCTCCAATGGTCTCTGTGACAGGACTTGCAGTGAATTTATAATGGTTATTGAAATCTTGTTCATTCTGTTGTTGAACTGAGGCACTGTCAAGCAATTCCTATGAGGTATATTGTCACATGGTACTGCTTTGAAACTCAATTTTGTTTGCCAATTGAATTTATTACCACCTGTAGTTTGATATATTAGGTTGGACCCAGACTTAATCAGTTGTCTTTGGTTCATGTTAAAATCAGTGGCTAATTTGCTCCATTGGTTTCGGTAGGGCAAAAGTGTTGTGCAGCAAACTCAGGCCCTATCTGTACTATACATTTAAAGCAATCATGACTTCCTGGGAACTGTAGTTTGTAAAAGGTGAGAGTTGTTAGAAGACCTCTGTTCCCCCTCACAGAGCTACAATTTCTGGAGTTTCTTGGGAAGAGGGATTGAATGTTACAACAGTCTGGGAATGCTAGCTTTGTGAGGGGAATAGGGGGTATCCTAACAAATCTAAACATCCTTAACTACAGTTCCCAGGATTCTTAGGAGGCAGCCATGACAGTTTAAAAGTGGTGTGATACTGCTTTAAATGCATAGTGCAGATGGGGCCTTAGCCTGGTTCCAAGCTGTTGTTATGTTGGCTGCATTGACCGTCTTTACTGTTAGCTGCTTTTTGGTTTCCTTTTGAGAGAGAGAAGTGGGTGGTTAATATTAAGTGAAATGAGAAAACTGCCACCTGCACCTTTTAATGGCTGGCCTGTGGGATTGGGAAGCTCTTCACAGTTCTGTGCGGAAAGAAGGATCACAGTTGCTCCCCAGAGGACTTTCAACCTAGAACAGAAAGGTGCAAGTCAGGGCTGGTGATTGGGAGGACCCAGTGATTTTTTTTTGCTACAAAAAATATTTATGAGGTGCTGGTACTCGTGGTGTTAAAGTGCTGTGGGTACCAACACAAAATGGCTGCCAAGGGCAACAAAAAAAGAGATGCTGATACTCCATACCAGTGAGTTTTTCCACATAAAAGAGCCTGTGTATGTCTGTGGGGAGACGAGGCATTCGCTTTTGGGCAGGAGAAGTCCGCAGAGCTTTCAAAAGCAAGTCTTTGACTCTGAGTCTGCGAATCTCATACATATAGATGTGAGCTTTGATGTGCTCAACATGTACCAGACTAGGTATGCCTTATCGGTTCTCAATGCCAAAGACAGTGTACATTTAAAAAGTACACGTGTGAAAGACTTTTTCAGTGGCACAATGCAGAAGGTGGTTGTTTTGCACAGAGCTAATTGAGCATGCTGGAGCCTTGGCTTTTGAGTCAGCATTCCCTCATCTTCCATCCTCGTAAGGACTAGATACTTCCATTGTGTTGGGGAGGGAAAGAGGGAGCTAGGGTCAAAGCTTTCAGGCGAGAGAAGGGCACCATCTAAGTGCATGAATAGGACGCAACCTGAAAAAAAGTACCATGAGGTATGACTGTATTATTATTATTATTATTATTATTATTATTATTTGTTCTGAAAAATGAATGGACCTTTCATGTCTGGCCTCCAGGGCTTCTCCAAAGACATCAAAGTCCCCAAGAGCCGATACCTTGGCTATATCAAGGACTATGAGGGAGCCACCTTGATGGAGTGTGAACTGAATCCCCGGATCCCTTACACAGAGCTCTCTCATATCATCAAGAAGCAGAAGGAGGTGAGGAGGTAGAAAAGGAGAACAGAGAAATGTGCAATTGTTCCCAGGATTCAGTATTCAGAAGGTTACCAGTGGCCGCTTTGAGGAGGGGCTGTAGCTCAGTGGTAGAGCATCTGCCAATGACCTCAGGCTCAGTCCCCAGCATCCCCAGGTGTAGGCCTGGGAAGGACCTCTTCAGGAGCCACTATCTGCCAGTGTAGACAGTTCTGAGCTAGATGGACCCAATGCTCTCACGCTGTAGAAGGCAGTTTCCTGTGTACCCCATCCTGAAGTAGAAATTATTCTGAAACAGAAAACATCGTGCACTATATTTTCGTCGAATTCGGAATGTCGGCAACCCAGAGAAACGTGCCTTTTTGATTCTGGCCTGTCGCCTGCAAATACACAAGTTTAACCAGCCCTTTGTTGGGTGATCCGTTATGGCCTTTCCCCTGGAGCTGGTCCTGCAGGGGTGTCCTGTGGGGATGGCAGTCCAAGGTGCATCACCTGCTCTCTTCTCCCTACAGATCATCAAGAAGTTGATAGAGAGGAAGCAGGCCCAGATCCGCAAAGTCTACCCCGGCCTCACTTGCTTCAAGGAAGGTGTTCGGCATATCCCTATCGAAAGCATACCAGGCATCCGTGAGTGCAGCTGGGTGGTAGCTGGGTAGTCTTTGGGAGAGTGAGCATGGCTTGTGGCATGAATCGTGCTGTGATGGGAGCAACTTCCTCCATGATCTCTGGCAGCTTCCCCCCAACCTGTGGCCTTCCAGGTATTTTGGACCCCAGCTCCCATCAAGGCCCAGCCAACGTCTCCAGTTGTCAAGGATGATGGGAGTTGTAGTCCAGCAACAACCACCAGGTTGGGGAAGGTTGAATTTGGGCGTGCCTTTTTCTCACCTTGCACCCATTCACTGCTTTCAGTCATCAGGAATTGCCTCCACGACAAGCTTGTTGAAAGGGTTCAGACTTGGGGCAAACAAGATGCCCTTGTTAGGTTCTTATAAGAGGATTAGACCAGTGTTTCCTGGACTTGGCTCTCCAGCCGTTTTTGGACTACAACTCCCAACATCCCTAGCTAGCAGGACCAGTGGTCAGGGATGATAGGAACTGTAGTCGAAAAACAGCTGGAGACCCACGCTTGGGAAACACAATGGACTAGACAAATCCATGGAGGACAAGGCTGCCAACGGCTATGTTCTGTGCCACTATCGGAAGCAGCATTTCTCTGAATACCAATTGTTGGGAATTGCAGGTGGGCAGGGTGCTGTTGCACTCATGCCCTGCTTGTGGGGTTCCCACAGACATCTGGCTGGCCACTGTGAGAGCAGGACGTTGGACTAGATAGGTCATTGGCATCATCCTTTGTACATCCTTGTGAAGGCATGGTGGCAGATCTCTAGCAGAAGAAGCCAGTAATTCTCCTCCCCATTGCCTCCACCATGATGGTGCCATACTCCTCTGTTCTAAAGAGGTACCTATTTCAGCGGCTTCATTGCCTCTCTCCTCCAGAGAAGACCAACCAAGGAGTGTGTGATGTGTCATGGGGGCAGGGTAGAGGGCCTTTTGTGATCCCCAGCAGGTCCCTAATTTGGGGTCACATTGGCCGTGTTTTGCTTTTTTTAGCTGTGTTTTGTTCCCTTCAGAGTCTGGTCAACAGCCAGGTATAAAACTGGAGAGAATGTTCTCCCCAGGTGACACTGCGGACTCTGGTGAATTTTCAGCAAAGGACATCTATTGGGGACGTGACCTCAGCCAGCACTCACTCATCTGGGGTTAGGAAGGGAAGAATGTCTGTGTTGGAAGATAAAAGACACAGGGAAATATGAAGCCCCACAGTTAACATATTTTTTCCGTGTATAACACGCCCTCATGTATAAGATGACCCCTATTTTTCGAACCCCAAATTAAGAAATCTATATGGGGGGCAGCGGAGATCGCCCTGAGTTGTTGAGGTTTTTGGAGGGAGGTCACCCTTCTGTTGTTGGGGAGGTTGCTGTGACCAATCACCCACACGCCTTGCTGCACCCACCAATTGCATGCCACAGCCCCTGCAAGCCTCACTGCAGCTGCAAATCGCACACTCACTCTCCGCAGCTGCAGCCGATCGCCCGCATGCCCGCAACCCCCCTCTCTGCATTCACTCTCCATATATAAGATGGCCCCCAATTTTTGCCCATTTTTTAAAAAAAGCAAAATACATTATCTTCTACGTGTACAAATGTGGTGTTTTTTACAAATTGACTCCAGCGCTGTGGGGGCTGCTTGCTTGCTTGCTTGCTTGCTTGCTTGCTTGCTTGCTTGCTTCTGAGCTGGGCCTGGGTCATTTGTTACTTTTGCAATGATACAGGGACTCTCCTTCTTTTCCAGGAGAGACAGGATGGAAACCCTTGGGGAAGGAGAAAGGGTAAGTCATGTGACAATTTTCATGTTCTCCCCCTTGCAGTGCTTCCTCTCTCTCTCTCTTGCAGCAGCAAGATCTTGGTCCTACCTTAAGAGAGTCATTCAAATCTCTCTTATTAGCTGATGCTGCAGACTGTGAATTTCTCTTGCAGGAAGGAGCTCAGGGATCCTGACCAGCTGTATACAGCCTTGAAAAACCTCCTAGCGCAAATCAAGGTGACTTGTCTGAATGACAATTTGGTGGGGTGGGGCGGTGCAGGGAGTTGGTGGTGCAAGCAAGATTTCTCCACCTGATGTAGTGGAGAAATAGTTGCATGTTGCAGTCCTAGTTTCGCGGTATTGTCCAACCCACACTTAACTGGGGAAAGACATCCTTACCCAGCCCATCTTCAGAATATGTTTGGGGCATTTTGGATTTGTGTGTAACAGGGGTGACAAACTGAATCTGGTTCAGAGAACTGAATCCCTAATTCACCTGCCCACCAGCAGGCTAGCTTTGAAAAGGTGGGTGGGAGTGTTCACCTGTCAGTCACTTGACATCAGGTGATTGACACACCTTCCCAAAGTTCACTGTAAGTGTGCGTCAGCTGGTCGGTAGTTACAGCAACTGCCTTTGAAGATACACTTGGAGCACACCTTCAGAGGAGCTCACTGCAGCAGCCTGCAGAGGAAAGAATCCTGCATTCAAAGGAAGCAGTTTGGATCAAAACCACTTCCTCTGTGGGCTCGGACGGGACCAAATTGGACTTGATAATTAGGCTCCTGTTCTGGAGGTTTTCTGCAACTCATGGAGTGAATGGAGGCAGATTGTGGGTGGTGTAAGGGTCTTTTGTTTTACACTCATACAAGTTTTGCAAGATGCACTAAATTTTAAAAAAAAAAGCTGTTTTGTTGTAAATGCAAACTGAAAACTTTTTTCAGGCTCCTGCCCACTTATTGTTTTTCCTAGCTGTTTCTCTGGCCTCAAAAGATCAACCTTCTTGTTTAGCTCACACACACAAATTTTCACAACAACAACAACACTTTATGAACTGGAGACCATTTCCAAAATAGATTAAAGACCGTTAAAAAAAAAAATCTAAACAGGGAGAATAAAGCTATTCCATTTATTAAAACCGAGGTTCATAATGTGTGCATGCTTTTAAGTTACACAGAACTCTTCCTCTGGCTGGCTGTTTAAAAGGGTAAAAAGGGATAAGAGGTTTTTTTAAATGTTTCTGACTGAGGCCTGCCCACTGCCAACATCACAGTTTCTCTTTTTAATCTTCTTTTAACTTCTAGCCAGAGAACTGTGTTACTTGAAAAGCTTTCACACCATGTTGTGGATCTCAGTTAGTTCTAATAAATGTATTTAATCTCCCTGTTTTGGAAAGGTGGCATTACTGTTCTAACTAACTGGCTCTTTTTCTCCTTTCTGGCCAGACCCATCCCAGCGCCTGGCCGTTCATGGAACCGGTCAAGAAATCTGAGGCTCCAGACTACTATGAGATCATCCGTTTCCCCATTGGTAGGTAGTTTGACTTGGCCCTTGGTTAGAGGATTGATAAAAGTAAGGTGGAGTCAGTATGGCTGTTGTGAAAATATTTCAGATGGCAGAATTGATGGAGATTAATTCCTGGATCATAATCGTGCCACAGGGGTGAAGGGTGTGGATTTCAGATTCCTGAGACTTGGCGCTTTTCTGTTCAATACATTAAAAGAGTTCCTAATTCTGCTAAGGGCAGAAATGAGCTTAGAAAGGTAAATTCAGTGTGATCTTGACATTTTTTGCTGCATTCGCTCGTGCATCTGTGGTTAGGAAGAGGTGGAGACTGTTGTTCATTACATACTGCATTGCCCCATGTATAATCCCCCAGGGATAGATTTCTCCCCCCAAAAAATCTTCAGAGAGTTTCCTTCTTACAGGAATACAATTTGGAAAGGGATAAACACACTACATAACGTTTTTTTATTGATGTAAATATTTGCACTATACATTTAAAGCATTATACCACTTGAAACAGTTACGGCTTCACCCCCAATGCATCCTGGGAACTGTAGTTAGTACGGGCTTTAAGAGTTAGTAGGATACCTCTGTTCCCCTCATAGAGCTTGCCGCTCTCAGAGTGGTTTAACAATCAACCCCTCTTCCCAGGGAACTCTGGGAGCTGTAGTTCTCTGAGGGGAATAGTGTCTCATAACAACTCCCTTAACTAACTACTGTTCCCAGGATGCCTTGGGGGAAGCTGTTTATAGTTGCATAATACAGCATGGGGTCCATTGTGCTGGGGACACCTGTGCTGAAGTGTACTACTTTGTACTTCTGTATTTTTGTGATGACTAGGGGTTTTAGCAAATAAATCTGACTAGCACCTGAACTCAGAGCAAACAGCCACAGACATCCCTTAAACAACCTTGCTGTTCTTGCTATAATTTGCTTTTGTGTCTTTTTCCTCTTGTGCCCCCTGCTCCACCCGGTCTACTTCTCACATAAGCTGTTGCCCATTTCTGTTGATGATGAACAGAGTTTCATGAGTAATGAACCCATGCATTATCCACATTTATTTATTTTTTACTATACCCTGCAGAAGTTCCAGAAGGCTAGCTTTGTTAATCTGTTGCCACAAACCCAACAGAGGGTCTCGTGGCACCTTTATGGTGGCATACAGCGAAATAGCGTGCAAGGATTTCCACTTGCAATACAGAACTTTCTTCTCCCTCTTCACTGTCCCCAAATCTGTTCCAGGGGTTGGGAGAAACCCTAGAACAGATTTAGGGGGCTCCTGGGGGGTGGGAGTTTCATTGCACAATCAGAAATCCTTGCGCTGACAGAATTATTTCATTACTGCTCTGTTGAATAAAGCTTGAATCACATTTATTACTGAAAAGGCTTTGTGAACCATTTCATCAGATATCTCAACTGTAGTCCTAAACTAGTAGACATACAGTGGTACCTCAGGTTAAGTACCGGTACTTAATTCGTTCCGGAGGTGCATACTTAACCTGAAACTGTTCTTAACCTGAAGACCACTTTAAGCTAATGGGGCCTCCTGCTGCTGCCGCGCCGCCGGAGCATGATTTCTGTTCTCATCCTGAAGCAAAGTTCTTAACCTGAAGCACTATTTCTGGGTTAGCGGAGTCTGTAACCTGAAGCGTATGTAACCTGAAGTGTATGTAACCTGAGGTACCACTGTATATATATTCATGTGGCTTCTGAGTTTGGAGAGGAATGAGATCAAAGTACAGTGGTACCTTGGTACTCGAACGGCTTGGCTCCCGAACAAATTGGCTCCCAAATGCCGCAAACCCGGAAGTAAATGTTCCGGTTTGCGAACATTTTTCGGAAGCCGAACATCAGACGCAGCTTCCGCTTGAGTTCAGGTAGCTCCTGCAGCCAATTGGAAGTCACACCTTGGTTTTCAAACGTTTTTGGGAGTCGGAATGGATTAAGTTTGAGAACCAAGGTACCACTGTACCACAAAAAAACAACCCTCAGTGGCAATTATATATAAAAGCAAAATGGTTCCAGTGATAAATGACAAAGCAGTGTTGATGATAACGCAAACATCTTGGTGTACTGGTAAGCTAATTGTGATAAAAACCCACTATCTTGATATCAAGCCACGTGCAACAGAATGGATGAATTGTGATTAGCAGTTTCCAGCTATAATCTATTATTATTATTTATTATTAATTTTCTTCTTTGAACTGGTGGCTCTTCCTGCACAAGTGACCTTCTCCCCTCCAACCCCCTTGCCTCCTCCCCTGCCTCATCAGACCTCAAGACGATGACGGAGCGGCTCAAGAACCGCTACTACGTCACCAAGAAGCTGTTCATCGCCGACTTGCAGCGCATAATCACCAACTGCCGCGAGTACAACCCCCCCGAGAGCGATTACTGCAAGTGCGCCAACACCCTGGAGAAGTTCTTCTACTTCAAGCTCAAGGAAGGGGGCCTCATCGACAAGTAGTAGCATCTGGGCTTATTTCCCCACACACACACCTCCGCCCTTCCATCTTGTGGGGACTCTCTTCCGGCTTGTGGCGAACAGCTGGCCGCTTCTCTGCTGCCTTTTGCCGCGTCTCACGCACAAACCGCATCTGGGGTTGGCTGGATAAAAGAGCTTTTCCTTTTACGTGAGGGGGCGTGGGATGCGCACGGGTGCCATCTCTGTTGCATGCTTCTCCTTGCCCCTGAACAGACTGGGATCTGCCATCGGCCCTCTCGAATTTCCGAGCCTTATCACTCCATCCGTTGGGTCTTCCTTCTTAGAAGAGAGTCGTGTGGGAGTAGTCTGGGAGATCACCCCAGAAAAAGATTCTGGATCCTTGCATTATGCATCCAAAACATGTAACGAGGGAAGTGAGAAGCCCTCTTCCCCGCCCCCATTTTTCCGTATATGTCTGTGGGTTTTCTTGTGCTTCCATGTGTTGGGAGAGTTTTTCACCTGCTTGCACTTCATCCTTGCTTTAAGATTCAGCCATTTCCTCTTGACATATGAATGTAGAAAAGGAGCACTTGAGAGGTAGAAGAGGACCAGGAGAGTTGGGGAGACTTTATTACAGACTTCAGCAATAAAGAGGTTTCTTTCCCCAACCCCCTCTTCAAAAGCCGTTGATGGGACCATGAAAAACAGAAGCCCTCCTTTTTGTTTTTGGCTAACTCACAACTTCCCACTATCCTGTTTGAATGCTGTTGGCCTGTCCTGTAGAGCTGTGTTTCCCAAATGTGGGTCTCCAGATGTTTTGAAACTACAGTTCCCATCATCCCTGACCACTGGTCCTGCCAGCTAGGGATGATGGGAGTTGTGGTCCAAAAACAGCTGGAGACCCACGTTTGGGAAAAGCCCTGCTGTAGAGGAAAGGACCCCTTTTGAACCTTAGGCTAAATTGTGACTGCATTCACCAGGCAGCTCATTCCGTTTTCACGACTTTCCCCTAAAAGTTAAGTTCCACTTTATATCTGAATTTTCACCTGACTTAAAAGCCACTTCCAGAACTTTAGTGCTCATTTATGTGTAATTTGCTTTGCGGGGGGAGGGTCTGTTGGCAAATGATGTGGAAATGAGTGCTAAACTTGCCCTATACTTTCCACAGTGGTTCCGGAAGTGGATATTACATTGTGTGAAAGTGCAAATACAATGTGGAAAGTAAACTTTTAGGAAAACGTCATGAAAATTGAATGACCTGCCAGGTGAATGCAGCCGGTATATAGCTGCAGGAGGTGGGCAAACAAGTAAAGGATACGTGGGGGGGGGGGATAACCCCCTTGCTCAGTTGCCAGATTTTACCCTCTCAATGCTTACCAAATGCCGGATACTGGATTGGAACTGTACACCCCACTGCTTGGTGGTGGTAGTAGTAGTAAATTCTCTGCATACCAGACCAGAATTAGCAGGTCTGTGACCCCTCCTCACTGCTGGACACCCCGCTTGGCTGTCTGATCACTATCCACAACGTATGGCCCATTCCTGATTATTTTCTGTCCTGCACTTACATCCCCACACCTATTTGATCCTCTGCATCTGAGTTTAGTCTTCATCTCTGCACTTAAAACTTTTGCACACAGACATTGTCCCACCCACTCTGTCAAGAGTAGCCAAGCTTTGGTGGGGGAAAATAATCAGGAACACAACTCAGTATCAGTGGTGCCAATGATTCCATCCCTCTCATTGGAGCTCCACCCACCCGCCTGCCTGTCTTCAACACGCACTTTCCTATGCATATATCTGTGAGTGTCTGCCATATTTGCTGTTTCTCATGCCTTGGTTTAAAGGAGGTACAGAGAGGGTCATTGTTTTCTTCTTCTGAAATAGAGGCAGCCAGTTTTGCTGTTAACCAGATACTTTAAAATGACCGTGGTGTTCTGATGACTTGCAGTAAGTTGCCAAGTTGGCACAGCCGCTCTCCTCAGGCGCCCTATAAATTTTGTGATGCTTAATATCTGTGCCACCATGTGGTGCAACAAAATTATAGCTCAGTTGTTTTTCTCTTGGCCATGAGAGTACAATTGTGAGGACATCAAACGCCCTAAGCCAGGCATGGGGAACCAGGGCCCTCGAGACTTTATTGGACTCCAGTTCCCATCAGCCCTAGTCAGTGAAGCCGAAAGGTCAGGGGTGATGGGAGTTGTAGTTAAACAGCATCTGGAAGCCCCACTCACCCACCCCATATGAAGAATTGCAGGCCTTTGTTGCAATAATTTCTGGGGTCTGGTGGTGAGAAAAACAAATGTGTAACACCCTAGATCAGCTTTTTTCAACCTTGGGTCCCTAGATATTGACGGACTGCAACTCCCATCATTCCTAGTCAGCATGACCAGTGGTCAGGGATAATGAGAGCATCTGGGGACCCAAAGTTGAGAGAGGCTGCCCTAGATAATAGTGGCATTTTATTGGTGGCCTGTATATTTAATACAGGAAGTGTAAGCTGCCCATCGACACTCACTTTTTCCCTTCCAGCACAGGTGTGGGGAACATTTAGCCCCCTCCCATCACCCCCCGCCATTGACTATACTTGCTAGGGCTGATGGGAGTTGTAGTTCAGCAACATCTGAAGGTTCCCCACATTTCAGTAGGTATGGGGTAATGGGAAAGGAGGGTTGGAAAGTTGGGGTGGATGGACAACTAGATTGTGTTCAGTTATCCAGCCTGCTTCAGGGTGATTTGCCCAGGTGGAATATACTCTGTTTTAAGTGCTTGCTGCCAGTGTCATCATTTTGTTGGGGCTGTGTGCGTCTGGTTAACACTTTCCCTGGGGTATTCAGTGTAAAACGTAACCCCCTCAGCTGCAAATTTGAATAAGGAAAAAAGGTTGCTTTGTGAAGTAAGTCAAAGATCTTCCACTTCATCCCAGTCTTTTCCTCCAACCTTGTGCATGCTCATCACCCTTCCTCCTCTCAATTACAGAGGAGTTGTTTGTCCTTTAAGCCTCTGAGGAACCTTATAAAAGGGGAGTGGAGGGAGGGGGGAAGCATTTGAGTGACGATCCACTTGCCTTCTCTTAAGTGACTGTTGCCTTATGTCCACCACATTTGTGTGCTTAACCTGTACAATTGCAGGGCCTGGCTCTACCACTCTGGGCCTTTCAATAATGTTGCCATTCCATTTTTTAAATACATAAAAGGAAAAAATAATAATAATAATATGTCTGAAATATAAAAGGTGTGTTGCTTTCTTTTTTAACCAACTATTGTAGGTTTTGTTGGGAACTTTACACTTAATAGCGAAGTGATTGCATATGTTTCAGTAGCTCTGGCTTTTTGTACAGCAGGCTTGGTTAAATACCCACATTATTTAATAAGCCAGGGTTTGTTCTTTCTTTTCTAGGTCATCTGTTCATAATTTGTATCCCTAGATCTCAGGGCGGTTCACAACATAAATTACAGTGCTAAAAAGAGTCTGCCTGGTGCTGACTATAAAATAGCTTATGGAAACTTGACTGTCATAGCTAGGGGCAATTTGCACATGTAGTTTGCTAAAGGAGAACAAATAGCTTTTAAAAATATTGCTCAAAGAAACAAACAATTCTGGCACTGATATGTTTCATATTTACATAATGCTGGGGGTGGACACACGTTCTCTATTTTATACTTAATACAATATTGTTAGTGTTTTCACACAGCTACTCAAGATGAGGAAACCTACAGAGGACATGGCTTGTGAGCATTTAGGGCAAATAAATCCATCTTCCACACCATGCATTTGGGATTGGTTCATATCCTGAAATAGCCAGTGTCACAGAACTTGGATTAAATGGCAGTAAACATGCAGAGGACAGTACTAGACTTCAAGTAAAGCCAAGTCTAGCAGTATATAGTACCTGGGGGGGGGGAGCTTTAAAACTATTTATGCATACATACATACATCGCATAAGTGAATACAGAAAGTATTTATTATATCCAAAGTAAAGCTTGATTCTGACACCTGTGTAGATAGCACACATTTGCTTATTTTGTATTGTTCTGTCACTTAGAATATATAGAAATTTGACCTTTGCCGTGACCTGAACATGCATTTACATAGTCTATATATGATGGTGACTGAAAACACTTATTACTACAACACTTCTTGGGGTGCCTCCCTGATTTCTGTTTCTTCTTCGTGATCACAGCATTTTGCTTACAGTGATGATAGCAGGTTCCCAGGCCTAAATTCCTTTTCAAATCCTGTATCTTGGCCAGCCCTATCATTAGACAGATGGAGAAGGTCTGTACCTCAGTGGCATGCTTTGCATGCAGACAGACCCTGGTTCAATCCCCGGCAGAGTGAGACTCCTGCCGCCAATCCTTGAAGGCTTCACCAATGGGATGCCATGCAGATGTTAAGACTACGGCTCCAACAATACCTGTCGGGCACCCAGTTGGTGGAAGCTGGCATAGGCAATATTGAGCTAGATAGATCAATAGTCTGATTCAGTATTGGGCAGTTTCCCATCTTCCTAAGATAGGTCCCTTCCCCTAAACATCCTGAAATCTACATTTCTACAATAGGGTAGGCATGAAGGAAGGGAAATCAAAAGGCCATACCAGATCTGACTGGTGCAAAGTCTTGAGTTCATGCCCACATCCCTATACAGAGAGTGTGGGGAGAGTTACACTTCAGAATTCCTCATTGCTCATGCTGATTCCGTTTTTCAGAGGGATGGAGAACTTCTCTCTGGTTCTTTCCACTTCCTCTGTGATCAACATCCAGTGACTGCATTCCAAGAGCATTTACTCATATGTTTTCTGATGGAAAATTGCCAGGAGCAAATATTGGGGAAGCCCAAAATGAGGAACACAATGTGGGGAGCAGTAAAAAAAAGGGGGGAGGAGCAACTCTGACTACTTGCAAAGTACATTTGCTATTTAAATCTCTAGTCATTAATCACAGAACTGTACAGCTGGAAGGAACCACAAGGGTCATCATCTAGTCCAACCCCTTGCAATGTAGGAATCTTTTGCCCAACGTGGGGCTTAAACACACAACCTTGAGATTAAGAGTCTCATGCTCTACTGACTGATCTATCCCACAGGCCCAATATCAGTTTTTACTAAAGTTGCTAGTCATTTTTTCTAACCCTGGAACTGTATGTGTGTGGTAGCAATTGCTCCAGTGGTGAGAGAAACGTAGTCTGCAAATGTTCAGAGGCACCTCCTCCTTTATCCCTCGCGTTCAGAACTGGAGCTCATGTCCTGCCCTCTCACATAAAAGGAGCCCGAGCTGCCCTTTCCACAGAGAGCTGAAGAACTCTGTGTAGTTCGAACGTCGGCACTTTCGGTTACACAGGTCTGCCTACGGCTTGATGTCTAGGGGCGTGGCGTGGCTTCCGATTGGCTCATAAGAGGGACGCCCAGAAGCTGCTCGACCGGCGATTGGCTAAAGCGCGCGGGAGAGGACGGTTCTTTGGAACGTTGGCTCCGTTTTCGCTTCCCAGCGGGGGCCTTGCGATGGCGCTACCCCGGTTGTTGTTTCTTTGGGCGACGGTGGCGGCAGTTGCTGCTGCATCCCGGCCCCCGTGGGACTCGATTGCCCGTTTGCAGCCGGGGACGGACGATGCGCGGCAGGCTGTTGCGGTGCGGGAGCTGCTGGAGCGGCTGCTGGGCCCGAGGGCTGCCTCCGCCTTCTCGGTGTCGGTCAACCGGTCTTTGGCCGGGCCCGGCGGGCTTGACACCTACCGGCTGAGCTCGAGGGCTCCGGGCGTTATAAACGTAGCAGGATCCAGCGGCGTGGCCGCCGCCTCGGGAATCTACCAGTACCTAAAGGACTACTGCGGTTGCCACGTCTCCTGGTCTGGGAAGCAGCTCCGACTGCCGGATAGCCTGCCGCCGGTACCCACTGAGATCATCGTCACCAGCCCCAACAGGTGATTCGATGGCGAAGGAGGAGAGCAAAGGATTTTGTGTTCCCTGTTTGCACGTGGGAAGTTTTGTTTTTTAAAAAAGTCTGCGCATGTCCAAAAAACAGCTCTGTTCCAATTAAATTTGCCTCTGATCTTATTGGACTTGAAACTTTGAGCCTTTGAACAGCTTCAGGTAAAAATGAAATCCAACAGGAGCAGCTTTCCTTGATGCAGTGACCGGGAAAGATGTACTTGTTGAATTTCTGACTGTTAAGTAGTTGTTTAAGGCACAGAGTGTCTTGTCATCCACAACATGGCAATCCTAGTTCCAGCTTTGATTGAAGTGAGGGAGGAGAGAGAAGTACCTCTGAGCATGCAGAGAGTGACTTCTCCCTCCGCTTGCATATCTTTGCTACATAAATTTGTTGTTGTTGTTGTTGTTTAGTCGTGTCTGACTCTTCGTGACCCCATGGACCAGAGCACGCCAGGCCCTCCTGTCTTCCACTGCCTCCCGCAGTTTGGTCAAACTCATGCTGGTAACTTCGAGAACACTGTCCAACCATCTCGCCCTCTGTCTTCCCCTTCTCCTTGTGCCCTCCATCTTTCCCAACATCAGGGTCTTTTCCAGGGAGTCTTCTCTTCTCATGAGGTGGCCAAAGTCTTGGAGCCTCAGCTTCAGGATCTGTCCTTCCAGTGAGCACTCAGGGCTGATTTCCTTAAAAATAGATAGGTTTGATCTTCTTGCAGTCCATGGGACTCTCAAGAGTCTCCTCCAGCACCATAATTCAAAGGCATCAATTCTTCGGCGATCAGTCTTCTTTATGGTCCAGCTTTCACTTCCATACATCACTACTGGGAAGACCATAGCTTTTACTATACGGACCTTTGTTGGCAAGGTGGTGTCTCTACTTTTTAAGATGCTGTCTAGGTTTGTCATTGCTTTTCAAGGTCTACTTCACAGGGGCATTGGAGTTTCAGGTTCTGCTTTTTCAAACAAACTGTATGTGCTGGGGGGGCGTATCTTTAAAGAAATAGAAATATGGCATAGCTGCCTTGTACTTCACAAGACCATTGGTCCTTCTAGCTCAGCATTGTCTACATAGATTGGCTGCAGCTTTCCAGGCTTTCAGATGAGACATTCCTAGGCCTACCTGGGGATGCAGAGAGGTTGGTACCTGGGAGCATTTACGTCCAAAGCAGAATGCTCTTCTAAGCTACCACTGAGCTGCAAGTTCATTTTGTACACCTTGCCCCATCTGCTAAACCCCTTTTTCAAGGCAGTGTTTACAGGTGGCAAATACTGTCACGTAGATATAAAACCAATCTGTTAGAGAACCTACATTTTTTAAAAGGGGGGAGGAACACACAACCCATTTTTCTATTCCCAGCTGTTCCCATTATGAAAGAGAACCTTGCTTGCCACTTGCAGAAAATACTTGGGAGGTGCTGATTAAACATTTTAGAAAGAAAAGCATGTGGCCCAGTTCTCCTTGGGGCCCTACCCAGGCTGTGTGTGTTTGAATTGTTTTGCTCTGACATTAAAAAGAAAAGAAGTCCTTCCCCAGGAAAGTGCTCTCTTCCTTCTTATCCTAGCTCAATTTCCATAATTTTCTTCCTTAGTCTCCATCCACAACGGGGCGGGGGGGGGGGCAGGAAGAAATCCTAAATATATGTACACAGTAGTTATGTTTGCTTGTTCTTCTTTGTTCTCTCATTTTCCTTCCTGTCTTGTCTTCCCATTGAATGTGCTCACCTAAATTTTAATAATACTTAGTAATTATAAAGCACTAATGCCAAAAGTGCTTCACAGACATGATCTTAGTAATTACGACAAACCAGTAAGGTAGGTTGGGATTAGCATCCCCTTAGAGCAGGTAT